ATTTTTATTACATATTATATGGTTGACAACTTATAGCCTTGTATTTAGGATAGTTGTTAATACATAGTTAAATAGTCACTCAAGTTGTTGTAACTTATTAAGCCATCATGTGGACCTATATGTTAAATATCTATATATTGATAGTTTGACTAATTGTTAGTGTATTTGTACTAGAAAGTCAATATTAATAGACTATGAACTTATGCTACATAACAACTTAGAGGAGAGGTTTATTTCATATGGTTGGTTTTCTTAAATCCCTAATAGTTAGGTGAAGATTTCATTTATATATATGAATTTGTACTTCTATTCCTAATCAATACATTACACTATTATTTTTTACATAAATTTAAATATTCTTTTGATTTTGTACTTAGAACATTATTTGAATCTAAAAAAAATCATAATACTAAAATAAAATAGAATTTAGGTGAAATAATACATATATGTGTGTATGTATATATATATATATATATATATATATACAAATATATAAGTATATATATTTTAAATATATTTATTTATGTAATATAATAAAAGATATGTAGTCCTATCATATTAAAATTATTAAAAAACTTAAAGTTTTTAATTTTTTTTATCTCTATAATAATAAGATTTGAAGTAAAAAAAATATTATTATTTTTATTTATTAATTTTATTTTATTTTGGACACCTTATAAAATCTTATAAATCATCAAAATAACATTTAATATCTAAAAAAGAAAAATATATTAAAAAATATAGCTTTTGAAATTATTTTGTAATATTATAAAATAACTATGTCTTTTAATGAAAATATTAAAATACCATATAATAATTTTAGTTTAAAAATAGACCATCAGAAATTTAATTTGAAATATCATAAATATAAGTTTGATATTTTTACTATTTTAGATGAGGTTACATTATTTTTTACAAAAAAATCATATTTTATGGCACAATTTGTATTCTACTAATTCAAATCTTCACAATGTTTATGTTAACAATACAACACATGAATACAATTAAGAAACTTAAATAAGAAGTCCTATTTTAAATACTTTTTATACATAGTTCAATAAATATGTATTTTTATTTATTAAATTTATTTTAGAATTATAATCTCTTCTATGAATGTTTTAAATATACTTTTATAAAAAAATATCATTAATATAAAATAATAGCTAAATAGAATATGGGAATTTTAAATATCATTAATATAAAATAATAGCTAAATAGAATATGGGAATTTTAAATAGAATTAATAACTATTGTTTAATAAACACAAAAATATACCATTAAGTTAGGAAGTACTACAACATTGTGATTTAACAAAAAAAAAAACCTAATATCACATGCTTATTTTATAGAATAGTGTATAAAATTGTTGAAACTATTTTGAAATAAATTTATATTTTTAAATTAAATATAATATAGTCATATTAAAAGACCGATTTAAATTATAACTTATAAGGACTATACTTCATCTATAAAAAATATATTATAGTATAATGGTTACTTTTAAATTTTATTACACTAAAACATAATCTATTCTTAAGAATAATTATAATATATTTATTATTTATTTATTTATATTAAATTTAAGGTGTTGAAACTATATATTTATATTGTCTATGCACCAAATCTTTAATGTCCATATATGAATTCCAATTGTATATAATCTAATAGGTTTATAGAATAATTTAAAATTGAAATAAATCCACAAATTTTTGAAGTATAATAGCTGAGGTGTTTAAGTAATTTAATTAGAAGAAGCTAAAAGAAAACATTTGCCAGAAGTTTGTAAATCACTTAAGTTTACTTGCTTATTTGTTTATTTATTTATTTATTACAATTGAAACTAAATCCAGTAAACTATGATTGTGAAAAAGATCAAAATGAATCCCATTCGAAAGCACAAAATTCATTGCATGTATATTAAATTGCACCTCATGTTTAGTACACAACACATAAAATCTAGGTTCTTTGCTTTTATGTTTCTCTATGAGATGATATTATCAACCAAGTTGCACACAACACAACCAAGTGTTGCTTGTCGTCTGCAGGGCTCTCTCTTCATGGGATAATTGTGTGAGCATTGGCACCTTGAATTCACGGCACAGCCATGCTTGTTTCATCAGCAATATCTCAATCCCTTATGCTCTTGCAATGCTGAATAATTTTATCAACAAAACGGGTTCTTCGTCGAACTTCCAGTGTTTGTCCAGAATGGAAGTGTCCACCGATTTGTGGATGTGCCTGGTTGATAAATGACGACGCAGGAGCCCTCAACAATCACAATCACTCTAATGGAGGACCCAATTGTCACAGCTTGAACAGACAGCTACTGTAAGAACTAGTTATTTTTGCTCAGAACACATTATTTGTATGTATGTACAAAAGCAAAGGAAACGAAAGTGCACTGTGAACTTAGTCTGTGAAGTTGAATTCCAAGTTTCACAAGTATGAATCTCATGGAGGAATCAGAAATTGTCGTCCGGGAAGAAATCGATGAAGATCTGGTCTGCGTCGGCCGGATTGGCAATTCGAGAGAAAGCTTCCTGGGAGAGTGCAAGGCCAGGCTCTGCACAATCAGGACAGAAGTCAACCACTGTCACAGCAACTGTGGGATTGTCAGAGCAAGGGTAAAACTCTCCATCGCTGCTCGGTGCTCCTGTACAAGTGACGGCATATGTGATACCGCAACCAGCGCCACCTCTGAAGAGGCTAGAACTGGCTGCTGCGATGAGGGTGCCGAATGGGAACGAGCGAGTGTTGTAGCCGTAGCATGCTGACGCTGCAAAATCACCAGCAGGGTTCAGGAATTGCTCCGGAGTCTGATCATCTTCGTCATAAGCATGAGAACAGAAGCTAAAAAACTTGCATACTTTGTGACAGTTTTCAGGTGCAAATCTATCAATAAGACAAGAGCAAAGGGGCATGTGTGCATGCTTACGAGTGTAGTATGGACCGTAATATGTTGCCTCACCGTTGTTGTAAGCGCTTATCATAGCTGGTAGGGTCCCCAAGCACAATGTACTAAGAACCAAAAGTCCAAGCACTGCTGTGCGAGTCCTCGCCATGGAGGGTCTGAGGTTCCAGCTCAACGATTGGGGATTACCGGTTGTGGTTCTGGAGATTGGATGGAATGCCGTGACGAACTCCACTTATAGGACTTAAGTGTCTTCCCTTAATGCAGACTCAGATGTTAAAAGGATTGAACTGACTCCTTCACGTCATTGTTTAGCCTTGTCTGGCCATAAATTGTATCCCTGATCTCATTTAATGCGCCTTGATCAACAGATCGACTATCAATCCTCAGTGACAGGCAAATTTGCCAGTTAACTCACTTGTTGAGAATGATATTTTACTCTAAAAGCCTCTGCTCTGTCCACGAGAGCCCTGTCTTCAAACCTCCATCTAGTTAACTCCCTCGCTGATCTAATGGAATTCTGTCAACTCGACGTCCCGAACAGATAATCACGTCAGAGCCTGCCACCTCCTGGCAGGGGTCTGAATCTCGATGGTATCTGCACAGCCCCTTCAAGCTTCTTTGACAGTCGTCAAAACTCGGATCTGTCCTGGACGAAGCTTTGGCTGTCAGTCAAAATTTCTAAGCTGACCAAGCGTCCGGTCTCTCGATCAAGCTCGAAACAGACATCAGTTTCATGGATCATCTTCAATTTCACGTTTAAAATGAGCGATGGAATGCTCTCTATTGTCCTACTTTTACCTACAGTCTCGACTTCGATTCACAGGTTGATCTCAGACCACCAATTCCACCCCAAATCTGGTGTTCACAGGGGACAGCAGAACGCACACGTGAAACATCATCCACCATGCAGGTGCTGATGCAGAGCACATCGCGGCAAGCTGCTGAACGGCACAGTCCAGACACTCGGCCACCCACAGAACTGAATAGCACATCGTTGGAGCAGCAAGAAAGTGAATTAAAACATCACAGATTAAATGAAGGTTGTTTGATCCCGTAAGAAGGACTCAGACGAATCCACCACCAGTACTGGGACCGAGGTCTGAGGCAGTGGAGTTTGGACCCACATGCAAATCTAGACTAACTGCTGCCGACGCACGAATTTCTCGCTGGAGCTTCGCCAAGCTAACTACGTGCGCATCTGCGAGGAATTCTTGAGAACAAGCTCTCGACAACCTCGCGGAGGCACAATTCTGAAGCATGAATAGTAGGATCCGGCAAGTAGGTGCTTTCTATCGATCGATGAATGAGGGTCCGTAGTGAGACTGAGCTAAAGGATTATGACTTTGATATAGGTCGTAACTCCCGTGAAGGTGCAGACATTGATGAGACCTCTTTAGCAAGCCAAATGATTGTTGAGTGCTTAATGGACTTTTACTAGTGCAGTGGGAATCATTCTCAGAAATAGATTATAATATCACAATATTATATCAGATATTGCGAAATTCCTTTACCTATAAGATAACAAATTGGCCATGCATACACATATTTTAAAATTTTAATCAACAATCAATAATGCAATTAAAATGTCATCTCTTCTATGTTTTATCCAAACTATTAATAGCTACATAAACAAAAACAAAATTATGCATTCATTGAGATTGATAAATGGTAGAACAATGATATCACCAAACATAATTAGATGAAAAAAAATGTAATACTAATTTACAATTGCAAACATGAATAACATTCGAAATTACAAATAATTCCACATCAAAAATAACCTGGAATGAATCTAAAATCTTGTCATTTGAAGGGCTACAATAATTACATTAGTTCAAGAACTATAAATCTCCCATTCAAATAGATGATCTTAACATGAAAATCGACCAATGGAGAAAAATGAAACTGTTCCACCACATTCCAAATGCTGAGTCCGATACAACACTTAAAAGGTCACGAAGTCTTCTTCACGTTCACATATATGAAAGACCCATCCTACACGGTAGTCGCCAAGCACACATACAAGAGTTATGTTCAAGATCCACACTAAAGATTTAAAATGCTCATGGAGCAAGGCCAAAGACACTGTTCATAACTTCACTTTCATCCGTGCATTTTTTTTAAATTCAATAATCTACATTTGTTGATCTTCGTGCAAGTCCAGTAACTCTACGGAGAACCTGTCTCAAAGTGGAGGTACTGTTCAGACCTGAATGCTTCTCCTCTGCAAGGAACAGAAAACCACCCATCTGAAGCTGCCTTTCCATGAGTGTACCGTAAGAAAAGCTGGGACGACCTAAACCAAGTGCCTGGTGTACAATCAATCTACTCGTATGCTAACTAACCTGCGCATACCTAGCAGATGACACTGACCATAATTGTAATTTTTGTATCTCTAGGCTAATTGGACCAATTCTTCTGTACACGATACTAAAAAAATTCACATAAACAAATATGTTGTGTCACAGCACTAGAGCATAAGAGCTCCACAGGATTTGCAGGTAGCCTGGCTTTGGGGTAGAATTGCGTTACAAGTGTTGTGATCTGCTGACCAACTGAGCACCAGCCTGAAACTTGTTTGTAAAAAATGAATCCAGCCTGAAAACACGTTCACAAGAACTTAATGAAATGGTTGTGACTTACAAAGGTGCCACGGAATTATAGCCAGTGCAAGTTTCCACATTAAAATGAAAGACAGCATAACAATGGAATAGGAAGGGCATACCTGTTGGTACACTTGTAATAGATAGTTTCTGGAGAGTTGTACGTGCGAGCGTTATTGAACATACGCTTCATATCGGAAGCAAACATCTCTAGAGTTATATAATATTGTTCACTTTCCACGCGTTTAGAGATGGTCTTCAAATCTGAATCAAAAGCATGGAAGTTTCAGTGGTCAAACCTGTGCGAGGAAAACCAAATATGATATGCAGAAGGGCAGTGATCTTTGTACCGATGGGATCCTTAATGATGTCATAGTAATCAGGAACCTCCCGTGCATCGACTGGTTCTTTGAAAGGCCACGCATCTGCGTGCTCAGTTACAGCCTGCACACAATAAACACCGTGTTAAGTTCCAACCCACCCTCCAAGTTCCAATACCTGGTTAAGGTGCGAGCACGTAGTTTGAAATACACAAAATACAAGTCAATGTTTCCATCACACAAGATGATACCATCAATTAGAATACTATTCATTCATGCAAAAAGCACATGAGAAACCTACAAAAGTTAAAACTTTCAATAAAAAAACATCTGCATACCTTAACCAATGATCGCATAAAATTATGCAAAGCTTGACGTGAAGGTGGACCATCTGAGGGGTTGTTGATGAGCCTAAACCGAGAATGAGGTGGTTGATCAGGTACCCACCCTGCCTCTTCTGTTAGAACAAAAAAGGCACCTTCACGTCAGAAATAAAAAATTTGGAAACTCTTATTTCTGACCAGAGACAAGTCACAAGAACCACAAGAACAAAATGCAGAGATAAAACTTGAAATCGTAATGACCAAAAGTCATTCAACAGAAAAGGACTGAGTAAGGAAACTCAATGAAGAACTTACTAAGACCCGGAATATCTTCTATTCGTAAGGGTCGCTTGAGGACTCCAGCTTCCTTCTGCATAGGAAAGCAAAATTACACTTAGTAAGATAGCTTAAAGCAGGAGTCGTAAGTTACTTAAACAGTTGACGTATACAATCCGGGTAAATTTTGTTGATTAATAGACATTTTAGGAACTTCCATGTTACTGGCCATCACTATGCGTATGTAGGCATCATTTGAGCACTTCAGGTCCTACAAAATGAGGCCCGTATCGATTACCTTAGGTAGATCAAGCCCTTGATAGACCAGATGACAGTTTGAAAGTTCTCGGATCTTCTCATCAATAGCCTGTTAACATTATGCGAGCATGTGAACATGAGAGTTTGACAAACGACAGACACCAAAAGTTAAACCCAAGACAAGCCGTGGTTCAAAAACATAGTGTGCAGTAACTAAAACATTCTCACTTCCAACCCAGCGCAACCGCTAATTCCTAGGAAGAATCACTACATTTTCTTCAAATTTACTTCTCAGTGAAGAAACTCAAAGACCAGATTCACATGCCTGCCTTTGACTTCTAATCATAGCAGGGAGATCGATATAGGGTAACTTTGGATCAATGCGGCACTCCATCAAGGTCCCTCCATCATAATCTTTGATATAACTGCACACAGGTTAGATTGCACCCGATGATGGGGCATATCATTCGTGATAAAAATTAAATGCACATCCTATGCAAGTGCCATAGAAAACGATTTCGGAATGAGAAACAAAATCAACAGTGAATTGATGGAAAGCTTACCCATGCCATCTCTCCTTCTCCATTTCAATTTCTTTTGTGAATCCCTATGAAACAAAGAAACGCCACGCATAAATCACCCCTTCTAAGAGTTCCACAAAATGCTCATTGAGGTGATGCGCAGCGTGTCAACTTCTCAGCGACGCAGCTGGAAATTACACCACTATTCTAAAAAATCAAAATTTGAATATCGCACCTGCTTGGTGAAGTAACCAACAGCATTGTTATCCGCATACGTAAGAAAATGTGTAAGACCATCAGAAACACGCGCATACTGCTTCAAGTGATTCATCAAGCGTGTACCATACCCTTTCACCTGCAGGCATAATTCAAAAAATTACCAACCTGATGTATCTTCACTTGAACTCAACACTCCGAATATCATGACAACTTATGTTTAAGAATGTCCATACAACTATCTAAGAAAACCACAAATTGATCACAGTACTACTCCTTTTATAACTATGGTTACACAACAGCGATGATTAAAATTTGGTTGGATGCCTGTGTTCTCAGAAGTACATCAACTCCTCACTGCGGATAACACAAAGAAGTAGCTGCTGGAAGAGTGCTATCAAACAGGAATAGAACACAAACAAAAGGGATTTAGTCGCATTAGATCGTCTCATTCTATTTAAGGATCAGGTATCAGAAAAATAACCTGTTCATCGGCAGTAATAGCGCAAAAGGCAATCTCCCCAAATCTTTGGCTGTATGAGAGTCGATTGTAAGCTCAAGATTCCAAACTTATATCAAGCATCGAAGTGAATTGAACAAAAAACAACTTAAAAAGAAAGATTTTAAAGCTTCTCTCGACACGCTCTTGCATCTTAGTCCAAAAAAGTAAAAAATAAAAAACCGAAATGTCCATTACCTAAGATATGGTCTGTATGTAATACCTCCCACCACGTTGTTGTTTTTGATGATCATCATAGATTTGTGGCTTCTGCAACATCAATATCTAGATTCCTTAATTACAGAACAAAATCACCATGGAAGGCATACAGAAAAAAATAAGAAATGAAGTACCAAAATGCACCTAAGTCAATGCAGGAAGAAAACTAAATGATAAATAGATCAGAGATCTTGAATGAAGTAAAACTCTATAAATAAGCACGTGTATTTCGAGAAAAACGTACCTGTCCATCACAAGACGCACTATGTACTCTTTAGGCATGTTGGGAAGTTGCCTTGCAAAGATGTTTTTCAAACCAATAAGCCTGTGGACAGTCCCATGGAAACAATTTAGTATATATAATACAACTAACATTTAATCTATCAAATTTAATTTGAAAAGTTGGCGAGTAGCAACCCTCTGCTGAGCATTGAAAGAATCAATCCTAAACAAACGAAAAAATTACCAACTTGGAAAATTCTTAACGTGATATCTCGCTCAAAAGCATACCGGAGAAGCCCAGAAAATGCTTTCATGCTCAAACTGCTCAGACGTTAGTATAACAACAGCGAATTGTATTCACGAGACAACAGCTTAACAGTAACCACTACTTTGATGTATTGCAGGTTCCCTCAAATTAAGTCTTTTATGTCTCAAGTACAACCTCATCGAAAATACACTGCAAAACTCACCAAATCATATGCTGATCTTCGCCGTCATTGCTAAGGCATATAAACTTAAGGCGACCAGCATCTTCCTGCAGAATTCTGAAGCTATGGTAAGCTTATCCACGATAAATCTTGAATAGAAACTTGATAAGTGAATCTCTTTTGATTACCAAATATAGAGAACCAACAACCGATGTCTCTCGATTATGAAGTGTACCAGGTTTGGTCACAACGAAATATGTCGGAAGCATCACTCCTAAAAGATTACAAATAATGGTCAAGATAGTACCTCTTTCTTAAGATTTTCTTCGCGAGAACAATAAGCACCACTGGTCTGAATTGTATCTGCCACGCTAGGCTTGACGTCAACAGAGTTGCCACTGGCACCAGCTAGATTGGGACTTGGGGTCACGGCTGGTAACTGTGCTCCGGACTCTCGAGCTCCATCCACTGATGGTTCAACCTTCACGCGGGAAACGCTGTGTGCAGGAGGCGCTGAAATAATATAATAGAGTGAGGAGACTCGAAGTTAGTTTCTTACATGATTACAACAGCAGATGATGCCAGAAACGGAAACTCAATTAGAATGCCAAAAGAGATAATTGTAACAACTAACGCGGCACTAACCTTCAAGCCGTGCAGCTGAGAATGTCTGCATCGTATCTTCCTCTTCTTCGTCATCGTCTTCCTCGTCGTCCTCCCCATCTGTAAATGACATTCATACAATAATTATTGTAAATATTACCATTAGAGTAAAGAATTGAATAGATTGGATACATCACATCATAGAAACTCCCAGTCTTTAGGTTTCTCAAGGTGCTCCCGAGATACGATCACATTCTCAGTCAGTTTCCACAAATTAAGGCAGCCGTAAAAAAACAAAAATAAAAAGATACGATCAATTGTGCCAAACACTACCGTCATCTTAAAAGTTAAAACAAGCAAGATCATTATCCAACATTCCAAACAGCCCTCTGCTAAAGCTCCTGCATAGTCTTCAAGTTGCAAAGTAGGCTTTAAAAATAAAATAAAGAAAGAAAGAAAGAATAAGACAACAGATCACAATCGTCAGGATCCGTTCCAATGCCTGAGCAAGAACGCTGATTGCGAAGGCATACCAAGGTTTAGGGTTTTACCTTCGTCGTGCTCTCCTTCTTCTTCGTTCGCTTCGCCTTCCTCCTCATCGTCGTCCTCCTCTTCATCCCCATCCCCACCGCCGTTCGCACCTTCGAACCGACCATAGCTAGGCCCATTCTTGACCCCATCGGACGACATGACGTGATGATGCCCTCCATTTTCCCCATCGTCCTCATCCTCCAGCGAGCTCCCGGGATTTTCCGGCAGCGTGTGCTGCGAGTCCAGCGAGGACAACGGCATTATAATCGGATGCTGCTGCTGGTTGAGGGAGCCGACAGGGTCACCACCGTTGAGAAGATTGGTGGACGCTTTGATGTGAGCGTTGGAGTGTGGTTGGAGGAAGGGGTTCGGGGAGTTTGCCACAAACTCGTCTGCCGTTGCAGCAGCATCCTGCGCGGATCGTTTCCGTTTCTGACTGGACCCGCTTAATGACGAATACGACGGCGATGGCGATGGCGATGGCGACAGCGTCACCGAGAACTGCTGTGACGCCATCTCTGCCACCATCACCGTCACTGCTCCTCCTCCTCCCTTCCTGCCAAGGGCCCCCTTGCGCATTCAATCTAGAGCAGTGATTGATTCTTACGCTGCGAGAATCACCGTTGGACGCAGTATTCAAAAACTACCGAAATCCCTCAAGGACGGACTCCCTCACAAATCTACGCCGGCGGGGTGAGTTCCCGCTTTGCATCTTCGCCACGATCCGGCCAACTCTCTCCTCCGCGAACCCGTCTGCAGTGTCACCCCTCGTCCACGAAACTCGACGAACGATGGGCGTCGTCCTCCCTCCGTCGTCGTCGTCGTCGTCGTCGTCGTGCCAGCTTCCTGTGGAACACCCGGATCACAGTGTGAGACTATTGCTTGTATATTGTTATTGATTCTGAAATTTAGTACGACAATCTATATAACAATGTTCTATGTTATATATGTGGCATACGATTATTTCTTTATGGAATTGAATGTGAATCCATAAAATGCACATGTATTACAACACTATGAATTGTAAACAGAGTAATGATTTGTAAACGCATCGTTTTAATGAAGACTACTCTTAAATAGATGTGAGAAAATGTGACACTTCGTAAATATATGCGTATACACTATTCAAGCTATTGCTTTTTTATGTTTACATACACAATAATGGATGTTTCTTCCATGGCAAATGCACAATATCAATATTGGAAACACCTCATTCCAGAGCACCTCAGCAGAGATTTGCCTTCACTCTGTGTAAAACCACAACGATGCTACAAATAGGACTGATGATTTGCAATTGTTAACGGAATGAAACTATACAAACAGTGCTTAAAAATTTAGAGAATCATTTCAATTTCAGTAACGCCACGCACCGAGCAGTAGGTGTTGACTTGAAGTCATGACCTACACCGAAATGCTATCTCTAAATCATGACCTACAATACCACTAGTTTGATAGAAATTTTATGGATTGCACTAGGCCAGAACTAACTAGCGAGAAGGGAAAAAACTTCAGATAGGAACTTATTCAAATCATCCTTCTCGCAGTCGAACTTCTGTAGAAGATCCGCAATCGTCTGCACAATTGATGAGAGTCCTTCGTGAACTCTACAAATTAAAATTTTCGCCAATACAGCTGCGATTGCTTGGTACGAGTATTTTGAGGAAGATATCTTTTTACTCGGTTTCATGTTCAATACTTTGCAATAGAAAGCACTGTATTCTACATATTATCCACTGGTAGTATGTTTGACGAGGAACTTGTTAATTTGTTCCTCCATCAAAGTCAGAGGCCTTGGTAGACAGTAGTTATTTTACCTTATAAATTTGATCCATGGCAGTGGTACGTCTTGTACCAAGGCGCTCAATTGGTCTCCCTTCTTTGGTACATTCTGAGATTTCAACGCATCTCTTCAAAATCTCGGCTGGAACACCTGTATCAAAACTTTCAGTAGTAAGCTATGAAGGACCAAATAATATGTGGGCTATGCACATGTTGACTAACAGAGTTGAACTTGTAATTTTTTTTAAATCTCCTGTACAAATAGAACACACTATGACAACTGAGAGGAAAACATTGCATTGGACAGGAGCAGGCACAAGAAATGCAGTTACTTTATTTTCGGTTATATTAGTAAGTGCAAATCAAAGAGGACTTCCTCTTGAAGATGCTCCTCTAAACAGTCGAAAGTTCAACCACACAAATTTATTTTTAAAAAATTAAGTGAGTGGCTCTTCCGTCAAATATAACTGAATGTTGTGTATTTCAAGATTTTGAAAAAAGTGATTCAAATGTACCTGCAAGCTCCGCACAATGTATACCTGCGAATTCTAAAGTTAAAACGGAACCTTCCAACAATAGGAAATTAAAAACTAAATCACATTACGCTTAGGACTGCTGATCTTTGCCTCAGACTTTCAGAAAAATCTCCCATGTCAAAATTGAGAAACCAGCATCATCTTCCCTTGTTAAATTTGAAAGTTCTGTATTTTTCTGAACATACCATAACTTGGGACCACACGACCAGGAACGAGCCTGCGTATGAGCATTGAGTCACACTAATGTCAACAGTTCTGCATCCTCGTGACGGTAGTCTTCATACCATCACAATTCTGAAGTAGTACAAACATCATATCCAGAAGTAGAGTGTGACATTTAACATATGAAAAATACTTCCTCCCTTCTAATACAAAGTCTTACAATGAGGACATGCTTTCTTCGTTTATTCCAATCAAGTTTGTTTAATTCTTCTCTGAAAAAGCATTCTAGTAGTTCTTGAGTAGAGGAGTAAGGACCTGTAAAGGAACACAATCTCATCAACGCCTCTGACAGCATTTTTATGTCCATCCGGCTCGAGGACACTCATGGTGTAAAATGAGATATTCTGCGACTGCCAGTATGAAGAGGGAGAAATCTTTCAGGTCATTTACTCAAAATGGTGAATTTCGCGACAATGGAGTGCACTCATCGATCCACCGTCGACAGGGGTACGTTTCAGCCGAAAACTTAAAGCAAGATCGTATTCAGAAGAGTCGTCTCAAATGATCGATAAGATACTCTTTATGTACATGTTAGAAGATAAAAAAAGTACCTTGGGTAGATAATTCTCATCGAAGACTTCACAGAAGTGTGTACATGCCAAAACCTGACAAAAGAAAAGAGATTGAAGGATGATCATGTCAAGTAGATTTATGCTCAGATAAAAGATCATCTACATAATGAAATATCTTGCGGCAAGGTTACCTTAGGCTTTTCTTCTTGGGTTGTAAGGTGATGCAAGGTTGCACAAAGGAGACCAACACCATCTGCCACCACAATTAAATTATTATTGCTGCATGTCAAACGTCTATAAGAATTGAGCTTACGAAAAATACATAAAGCCTGAAGATATTGTTCTATTCAATGATACGTACCTTGTTTCTAAAAAGTTAAAAAGTTAAGAGAAAGATGTAAATCTCTGAGAAGAAACTACAGAGTAACTTTCCATACCTGGGACCAAGGTGCCCTTGCCGAACTCGTCAATCACGCACAAGGACCTCGAAGTAGCATGTCTAGTGGTTCAGCATCAGTTAATGTTACCAGTTGTAATCAGAAAACAAGTTCCCTAATTTTACTGGAAACTAATATAAGCTGAACCACAATTATCGATCAACTCAGCAATTTGGTGACTTCCGACATCATAGTGATGCCTCTTTACGCAGCAATCGCTATTCATAATGACCTTTGTGTTATCTATGCTTTGGACTTGCCTCAGCATGAAGGCTATCTGATGCAAGTCAATCATGAACGTTGACTGTTGAACAGCCATTGTCTCTTTGCTGGAGACTCTTGTGAAGATTCTGCGGGATGCAATGCAGTATCGTGGAAATTGTCTTTTCATGATTACGCAGAAATTAGATTCGCCAACAGGAGTGACAAATTTAGTCCTTCAAGGGTAATTTCATATTAAGCAGACATGGACAGAACAGGATGTGCATGATATTGATATTGCACCTGTCAGTAAGACCAATTACTGCCGCTTCTGCTGGAACAAAGCTTCCAATATGTGCTAGAAATACGATGAGAGCAACCTGGAAGTTTTCATATCGTTTTCACTTGCAATCACGTCTACTATTTCTAGGCATCAAATGTTGAATTAAACGAGAACGTTTCTCGAATTCTCAAGCATAACGGTTCAAAATAGAGTGCAGCGACTGAATATTCTACAACATGGAGCTGGACTTCATAAGCATAACCTATCTTAAAGTTCCTCGATTAAAGATATACCTGCTTCGCGTAAATGCTCTTGCCTGAGTAGTTTGGGCCAGATATAATGTTTATACGACCTGCATATTGGTAACAACCACTTTATTACTCAGAGGCTGCTTGAAGTACGTACTATCCTCCATCTGAGTTTAGGACGGCTGATCGTAATATACTCAATTAAATTCAATTACTTTAGAGCTTACGTAATGAATGCAATATTTTAGTACAAAGTGATACTTATTGCCCCGTACTGATCCGAAAATGAGGGGTAGTGCTAGCATTGCTTACTACTTTGGTCAATGTTGGTGTCATTTGGCACAAACGTGTTGACAATACACTCCTGGAGAGGATGCCTGCACCTCAAATATGCCCTTCATCGTGATGTGAATATAACTCTACAGATACGTCTGGAAGCCAAGACCATAAATTGCCTCTATAAATTGTGTAGTTTGAAGATTGCGTACCTTCCAGCTTTTATCATGAGAACATTATTCTCGGACAACTGGGGACGCACGTACTTTTGGTCGTGAGCCACAGTACTCAGTGCAACCAAGCTTCAATATTTCAGCAACAGAAAGACGACAATCAATAAGTTACTTCGCTGTTCAGACTATCTCCACAGCAAGGGAGGACACAGTAATTCGGAGGAACATTCACCTTATACTTAATCATATCATTCGCATCTCATGTTAAAAATGATTGTAGAATATACACACTTTTCTCGGGATTTATAATGAAGACTCAACTTTGCATATGACAGAATGAAACACCAAATTATTATGAGCTTCAGCCATTGAAAGATCTTTGTACCAATCGATTTCTGCTGCAACATCCGCTGCATGGCGCAATGCCGAAGCATAAATTAATACTCTGCGCTCCAGATCCCTCAGAATTGCATGCTCCATATCTGGAGAAATTACCTCTTAGTTATGACTGAAACATTTCAAGAACTTATCTGCAAGTACACGAAGCTCTCTGACCTTCAAAATGAATCCTCGTACCTAAAATCTTGTGTAGAATGTCTCCAATCACTTCATCCAGCTCCCTGGTCTTCGAGGTGTGATAAAAGTAACCCCCTTCAATCCCTCCTTCGAACTAGGACACGACCCAAACGTTACAATCAGCATTATTCTGTGTTTATTTTCACCATGAACAGTTTTAGGCGCTGATTTAGATGGCGCCATTTAAACTTTTTGCTACCAAATTGATGTCAACATTAACTTCTGTCCAGGATAGCATCAGTCCCACATCACTCAACTACGCAAAATGAGAAGAAATGCGGGCTCCAGCGATGCGTCTTTTGCTGCAATTTTTTTATTGACGTCGTACATGAAGGACGGGTTCACTTACTGCCAGCTGGATGTCTGGACGGCTCTCAAGGGTATACTCATCAAGCATCTTTGACTCGAATTTTAACAGGTAACCTGTGCATTGACAAAAAGCAAATGTTAAAATCTTTATAGGATGAAAAATAGAGTCGTTTAAGAATTCGAATTTTCAACATCACATGAATGAGAAAAACGAATAAAACTGGTGTCCAAAACCAAACATTATTTGTATAAATCTGATTCGCTGATTGATGGACATGAGTACTACCAACTTGAGGGATGTAACATATTGCAGCTTCTTCGGACCCGACTTGAAGTTTCAAATCATTCAACTCAACCCCAGTGATCTGGACATGTCATTCAGTCATTCAACTCAACATGTGCGCAACTGCCGGAAAGTCTTAACAATATTCCATTCTCTTCAACATAAGATACCTGGATAAGGAAAATAACCTCTTCAGTGTTAAACATATCATAAGAAATAAAAGATCGACTTAAACATACTTGAAAAATAAAGAGTTGATGATACCTGATTGAGGAAGTCGGGGAGCCCCTCAAAAATATTCTTGAGTTCATCAAGCTGATCGAAATAATATGTCAGATTGGTTTAGGAAATGCTTGATTTTTAACCAGGATGATGTTAGATGCATCTCAAACCAGCAACGGAATCGGGCCACTGTTGAATCCTAACACTAGTTGACACTGCTTAATCAGTACCGAGTTTAAGGGTGATCAAACCTCTTCACAAACTCCATATGCAACCATCGTTTTGGAGGAGTCACCACATCTCTGATCGAAGTCAATGACGCCTGCTACCTGCAAATATTGGAAAACAATAGCGAGTGTCACTTTCCATATGCATTGGCATCAATTTCCTCAATATGATGATAAACCAACGCAAGCATATGTTTGATGAAGAGGGTAGTCCTGGGTGATCCACGTCATTTTGCCTAGCCTTTCAATCTGACGAAGTGAGTATTCACTTTCTTAATCGATCAACGAAGTCCGAAAGGATAACTTACTATGCTGTTGACGTACATGAGATCCTCGGTAATTTGACTCATGACCTGAACAAACAAGTCCAGCCGAATAAAAGAAATTCTCAAAACCTGCTATAAGTTCTCAACTGCGCCATAACGTGTATGTGAGCACCACCGCAGATGAAGGTGCATGCAACTGTCTTCTGATTTTCACGGAATCATTTTAGTAAGTATGCCTTACTGGACACAAGTTTACCTCTGAGCGAGAAAAAATTACAAGACACTCACGAGGTTTTCAACGTGTTAAGTAAGAGCTACATGCACCTTCTTCACAATTTGAAGATCGATCAAAGAAATTTGACTTTGATGTCTCTGGGACACTGCCACCTCAAACATGGCTCGAATGTGGATAAGAGCGCTTACACTCTGCTAAACACGACACGTTAACGTCAAAAGAAGTACAAAAACAAATAAACGAAAAAATATAAATAAATAATAAATAAATAAATCAACAGAGGCAGTTTCAGAGGCCACCAAACAGAGGAGGGGCGATAAACTTATTGGTTTACCTGTGTGAAAACTGCCCAATCCTTTGAGGTCACTACTGAACTTGGTGAACTTATTTTCTGTTGACCACAAACGTTCTAGATTAAATTTTATTAAGCTTGGTGACTAACCTTGCTTCGTCTGCAACATGAGCATTTAAGTTACCAACTATGATAAGAGAAATCAGTAGCGCACTTCTACCTGCAACATCCGTCAACTGGAGGGCTGTGGGTGGACACTGTATTATTACCTTGATGAGCCTAGGAATATCTTTAATGCCTTTCAATGTATTCCGCAAAGCAGACACCAAGTCCTGGGAGAGTCTGAAAGCTGAAACCTGGCGCTACATTGTAAGGAATTGCAACGTGTAGTCTATACTTTATTGTCGAAAAATTTAAGTGAATCGTGCTGAAACGTGAAAAGAGGATACCGTATCAAGCCGGTCATTGAGGACGCTCAAGTCCAAAATTGGTCTAAGAAACCATAACCTGTGGTACACAACACCAAACGCCTCAATCCCGACTCTAAAGCACATAATTTTGGAGTTTGTCTACCAGCAATCCCAAGCAGGGAAAAAATTATAAAATAAATAAATAAATAACGGAAAAGAGTATTAAGATTTTCAAAACTACTTTCTCTCAACAAATAGTTTACCAGACCTCGAAAATGCAGCATTCGCATACCTTAAAAGTTTCCGCCCTGGTTGTGTTAAACACTGATCAAGAAGTCCACGATGATTAAACGTTGGGCCAGAATTAATTAATGAAAATAAGTGGAAGAGCTAGCCACGTGAGGGATATTAGGAGCACTCAATAGAAAATGATCTGATCAAACGTACTTATCCACCCCCGCTTGGGTAAAATCAATCCTCCTACTTCCTCTTGGTCTTACAACAAGCATGTATACATGTATTAACACTTTCTCGCAGTTGGGGGTACATTCTAGAGGCCAATACCCTATTCAAGGGCGAAGAAGCACGATGATTGCATACCTTGTTGAGGAGACCGAAAAGGGAAAACCTGACATGGAATCAAATCACATGCAAAAAAATTGGAATCAGCAATCCGCATAAACATGTGCTAGAGTTGCCATGAAAAGTTGCCAATTTCATAGTTTGAATTTACCCTTCTTTTGCTTTTCCAATGCCCATCGAACTGGCATGTTTATCAACCTGGAAAATATGTAGTGCATCATGCGTAGACGCATCAACATTCAGAAAACCATTACTACTTCTGTCAAGGATCGAATTGCCTGGGCTATTTAGATAACAGAGCCACCAAAGATTCGTCATCAGGAACTAGTTTTGGTGAACCATGTGACTGATAGATCGATAGACATTCTTATGATACACATAGAGGATGTCTTGCACCCTCCTCGGTTTTGACAGTAAGCCCTTAAATAGCCGAATGTGGTTGAAGATATCTAACGACCTGAATATAAAAGGATACAGAGAGAGCTCGCAGATGCTTCCAATTTGAAGAGGAGAAATTCTATATTCTTCAACTACCATATCATCAATGAGCATTTCTTGCTGAAGAATACCAAGAAGACCACCAGCAGCCCGAACTTGCATTTCACTGTCAAGATTCATCATAGAGTTCAACTGCACCATGCACAACATTATTCGTGGTAGAAACATCTTCAGCGGAATTGTCCTGATGTCACACATTACATCAAGACAGAAACTGCTGGGCATCTTTCTACAATGGGGAAGATCGGAAGCATGGAACAAGAGATTTACGAAAAAGGTAGGAGGACCTACCAGGTGCATTCTTTCCCTGTCGTTGAAATCTTCTTCCATTCCAGTGACACGCAGATAAGCCAATCTACAGAGATCAGGAAACGCAACAACATAAAAACATCCTCAAGCTTTAAAAGGGTATGTGAAACGGCGCTCACTACACCTGATCATGACTAACCCATTAACTTGTGATATTACAAGGTTTTCATAATTGGAAATGTCGCTGATGTTAAGTTCTAGTTAATCTGTGGTGCATATTCGCATTCGCATCTTCATACCTCTCCTTGGATACCACAAAGCAGTTTCTCAACATCAAAGAATAGAACAGATGTCATGCCGTGAAAACATATTGAATATGATATTTGATATGAGCACTCAAGTGACAGCAAAAAAGACTATAACTCGGCTTTCAATGCCGGACATAGATCTAGAGCACCTGTGACGTGCTTGCTGGTAACTAAAATGAGAACTTTTTACTATCTTCACTTCATGCGGTTCATCTTCCTCCTTGACTGCTTGATGTCAAACACAAACACGAAAGACCTCTGTCACATATTCACTATTATCACTTGCTAAAAGGGGTTCATATTTCTTTATTTTCCGACTGCCACGCAAAGTGCTGGATCACATGAAAAAAGAAATTGGTAAATTATTACAAACAAAAAATTCAGAATGCAGTTAACGTGCTCTTAATAAGTTAAGATCAGAGGTGGTATTTTCATAAGCTAAATGGTAGAAGGCAGGCCGACGATATCACCTTTCTTTTGAAGTGCAGTTACAAACGTGTCATCCATTTTCGTACTGGTATAGATGACAAGAGGCTGAGCCTAAACACACGAAAAGCCCTCGTTGGATCAATGTTTGTTGCCGATAGTGGTAATCTCTTCAGCGCGTGACTAACAGATAATTGTTAATCTGCTGTTGAACATACCTGATATTTTACTGCGGAGCACGAAACGCGTCAATCAGATATCAATAATTTTGGAATTTCATATACCAATATCAAAAATTTAGGAGGAGGAGTTGCAACATATACGCAATGATAGAACATAGCGTAGAGCTGAAGGGTCAAGCACGAAGCAATCAAAGCCAATGGTGACTTCTGATTAGATAAAGTAAGCATGTGCAGTTCTAGGATGCGAGGGCCTGTCGCTTTGGTTAAAGAATCCACTCACTAAGCTGCATGGACGGAAACTCCTCACTTCCATCCTCCCAAGTCTCCAAAACAAACATCGCGTTTGCTTCTGTGTCAAAATATGACATGCCTAACCTGTACCAACAAGGATTGAGATGTTAGTTGTCAGTGGTGTTCGCATAAACGAATTGGTTATCAAAAAAGCAGTATGACAATTTATTTAAGTATATGTGTTGCAAAGCGAGATGAATGAACTTGGAATACCTGCTACCTTGTAGAATGCAAGCCATGTACACCTGGAATAAAAATTTGTTGTAAGCGAAAAGATTCTAAACCTTATGGACGAAACCGAAACTAGTGTAGACATTGCTCTCAAATAATTTGAAGTCGTATTACTCAAGTTGAATCGTTAAATCGAAGGATACATGCTTAGTTGTACTAGTGTACCTTTGAGTCATATTCTCTATCGAGTCTCGGTTCTTCAACCTCACAAACACTGTCGTTCGGAATTCGCCGCGAGGATGTAAAACTCATTTTCACTACACACCAGTGAGTACTTGATTATTGACAGAAATTTTAAAAACAGAAATGGCAGGTAGACGATGGCACTATAAAAGGTCACAAAATTTATGTAGCAAAGAAATCACCCGATAGGCATACAGATTCTAATAATTCGAGGCTCCACACGATTGGAGGAACGCAGTAAAATTGTTTACATGTACAAGTTCCACGAAACAAGCTCCTGCACCCAAAGAATATGTGAGTTCAAATCATGCAAAAATTGATTTAAAAAATGTGAATCAAGCATGGAAAGGAATGAAGCATCATGTGCAATGCAAGAGGACTTGAGGAAACCACGTGGAAAAAAGAAATTCCCTTAAAGTCAGTTAGGAAATAGCTCACAAAAGTTGAAAAGCTACCTGTGAATCTTGTGTAAGCAAGATTGCACTCAATTCACTGCAAAAATTAAAAAATGAAAATGCATCATTAAACTAAGGACGCGTCTTTGAATTCAACTTCAAACAGAAATGCTTAAAGTTGACTATCACGGTTGCAAACTGCTGAGCGCCATTACCGAAAGTTCGTTCGTTCTAACGACTGCTGCCTACAATTAGAATGCAAAACAACGAATCAGTCGTATAACCAGAATGCAGCTTGGATACCAAAGCGAGGAAAGAGTGGATTTTAAAACACCTGAAATCTCAAGAAACATGCGTAATTTCACACACACAAACACAGAAGTCAGATTAAACAATTAGACCATTTTTTATTTTATTTTTTTAAGCCGTTATGTCTACAGCTAGTGATCAAACTCGCTAGATTTGACACAAACCTTCAGAGGGAAAAGAATACTGCTCCCGTTCACTTTGCGACTAGAAAATCCTGCACATAGCTCTGGAATTGCATGGACGACGATCTGCTGGCAGAGTGGCGGGAGGCGATGGTGGAAGCTTTTTGAATCAGCACTGCTGATTTGGCTGCTCTTCTTTGCAAGGCTATTCTTTAGCACAATGAATGAAGTGTTCAGTGGGACGTGGATGACGACCCGCTTGCTGTTTTCATTCATCTTTACCCCCGTTGTGCTGCCCGATCTGCCCAGGGGAGGTGCAAGGAGGTCAGTGCCAATCAGAGACAGAGCTGGTGGGGCTGCCCAAGTTGGGAAGCCCGGGTGGGGTGGCTTGGGCTTACCCTGGGCTTACCCTGGGCAACCAATTCGAGCCAGCCCAAATCTTAAAGGGGAGAGCCCTGCCATAAAATGGCATTATTCATTGATTGTTTGGATATTGTACATGCAATTTTGATATGTCTTTTAATTGTGATTTGATCACACGATTTGTTTGTTACAAATAAAACTTCTACTTTGTTGCTGATGGTCGCATTTTGATTGTGTAACTTGTTGTTTCTGGTAGACCTTTCGGATATTTAATGTTTGTTTAGAAACTTTCAACGAGAAAATTATTTTTTTAAGTTGGAGTGATATTGTGTACATATATATATATATATGTATATATGTGTATATTCACACACACATGTAAAATCAAGTCAATACAAACAGATCAATTTTTTTGAGTTGTGTCCACAAATTTATGTTTCTAAAAACTATATAACCTGTTTTGATATTTAAAGGGAAATGTTAAAATGACCCAGGTTTTTATTAAATCAACCCATTTGTCTAAACTATCATTGCATCCCCGTTCCCTGTCCCTGTTCCCCACGTTCCCAGTCCCCATCCCAGTTCTCCCCCTTCCCAGCCAACGTCCCTGTTCTCAGCCCCTAGCCCAATCCTCCTCTCACTTCAGCACTCGAGTCGACTTGCGGTTTTGATGAAGCTACAGCCGATGTTTGTCGCCGACCGAGTGCTGCGCCCCTCGTGTCTGCTAATTGTAATCCAAATAATCTTGAAAGCATTCTGCCGGCCAATCTCATATACAATCGATACCATCACAATGCTCCGTAGCGGGCAGAGTGGGCATGAGACATGCCTGTTGCGCGAACCACTTCAAGTTCTAGGCTGGACGCAATTACAGGACATTGTAACTCCGAGTCTTTGCAACGTCACAGCTCTTCTCATGAATCAATCTGGCAAAACCTCTGCAAGCTGCCGGATGCGGTGGCTACCTTCCTGTTCAGCGAGTCAATGCAGGGGTTCAATATCACAACTTCGACGCACGGCGTGAACATCAGCGTGAAAAATCATGAGCCATCACTCCAGCACCGATCCTATGAGCCTACACCAGCACTGGCAAGTAACAGTCAGAGGCAAATGTGCCACTCGAGGGTTACTGGCAATTCGAAGAGCATAAATGTGTTGGCAGACTGGGATTCTACTAGGAGCCAGGATTCCTCACTGGGATACGCTCTGTGCCCGGTGAACATCTCAGGTCTCTGCAACGCCATGTTTATGCCGGACAACAATTGCATGCACGCTTTGAGGATGTAGTTGAATGTGATGAACGAGTTCTTTCACTTGTAATAGGTGCGATCTTTGTGTAGGAGTAGCCTCAGTGACTCAATTTTAGTTGAAAAATGCTCATTTTCCTTTATACAAGGTGGATTGTCGATGGAATCTTAGCCCAAACAGGCTTGCTAAGAGTGTTTTACTCGTGCTCGTAGAAGCTCGAAGAATGAGTGCACGCCTTTATCCCAGAAGCAAGCACGGATTTTAAGGAATTCATCGAAATTTAAATGTATACATTGATGGACCAAGGTTTCATGCAATTGAAGCAAAGAGTCTGAAAGAGATGGTTGTGTGTAGTGGGGGCATTTGTTAGCCTTACTTGATTAGCACGACAATGATTTACAAGTCATACATGAACGTCTATTGTTGCTTTTCCTTTGAGATTGCACCACCCTCAAGGAACTTCAGCGGAGTAAAATCACGCGACCAACATGATGCATTTTGAACAGGGAGGGGGGTTGGGAAGGGGGAGAACGGGGATGCAATGATGGTTAAGACAAGTGCATTGAGTAAAACTTTGGTCATTTTATCATTTTCTTATTTAAATTGCTAATATGATTTGTGTTAAAATAAATCAAAAATTCTAACAACCTTAAAAAATATATTTTATGTATGTTTATATATATATATATATATAGGGAATTGTTAAAGCCACACCCCCCAACTCATGTGGTGATTAACTTTGGGGGACGTGGAGCAAGGGACAGAGACAAGGGGTGGACAGAATTAATCATGAGATGGTAACGTGGGGTGTGACTTAAACAACAAAAGAGTGTGGCTTTCACAACTCCCTATATATATGTATACGTAATATTTTTAAATAACATGTAGGAAATTTTTATATAAATAAAACAACATTTAAATCATAAATATTTATATAAAATATTAATTTAATATATTTTTTCGAGCATGTGAATTTCTTTGTCTATGAGCATAAATTGTTGATTTTAAATTTCACCATCAACATATAATTTCCAAAATTAATAGAAAGTAGTCAATACATGATATTTTATTTTATACTTGTTTGAATAGAAATTTCTATGAGTTTATGCTATAAATTGTAAATAATAAATTAATATTATTATTATTATTATTTGCTACAGATGCACATAAAGACAAAAGTACTGAATAATATCAACGGGCAAAAGAAAAGATCAATGTTGATAAAGTAGAAAGGAATTTTACTAGAAAAATTAATATGGTTTTTTTTTTTTTTTTTTTTTGTAAGAAATATTAAAGAGATAGAAATAAAGGTGTTTAAAAGAGTATAAGTCTAGTATTGGTACAATAATTTAAAAGTGTGGTCTTTTTAAAATTAAAATAATGTAAAAAAAATATAAGATTTAGTAATGTTATTGATCCTATTCATCCTAATATGGTATGGAATCCATAATGGAAAACTAAGCAGATTTGTTTAAAAAATTAAAAAATAAAATCTACACGGATATTTATTATAAAAGAAATGCAGAAGTACGTCTCCAAATTTAAATGAATAAGATGAATGTGGTCGTTTAAAGATTCCCATTGTTGTCAATATCTTTGGCGTTTTTAGAACGTTCCTGATTTTGAGTTTTACATTTATTTTGTTTCTTTCTGAAAATACAAAAAAGAGGCAAGGATTCCTTTTAGTTATAAGTAAAATTCATTTTTTTGGATTTTATGTTTATTATTATTATTATTATTATCATCATCATAAATTTTATTCACAATGGTATAATATTGGATAATAATCTATTTAATATTTGTTTGCTATATAGACTTTCAAATAAGAATTTAGGTAAAAAGATTTTGTGAAATGACATTTAATTTAAATATATGTTAAGAGTATATTTTTAAAGTATTAATGTAATTTTAAAATAAAATAAAAAAACATGACAAATACACACAAAAATAAGAGACAATTGTTTATCATCCATCTTCATCTAGCAACGTTTTTGGATGAAAGTGTTGGCTTACGACGGCGTTCGAAGTGACGTGGACTGGAATTTGCTACCTCGGGGTGCTGGTGCCTTTACACAGTAGCAAAGGTCTGGATGGATGATTTCGTTGAACGGAACCAGTCCGTCGACGAAAACACGGCGGCTATTCGCAGTCCCTAAACCCTAAACCCACAATTGAGCTCTTTGTTGCTGGGTTGGGTGGATGGAGCATTTTTGTTAGCTATGGCGGAAGACAAATTGCCCGCCGACGTTTTAAATGCTGTCTTGCGAGCATCGCATTTGCCTGAAGGCAACAAAAATCTCGTAGTAGGTTACGATTTCAACAATGGTCTCGACCTTGGTGCGCTTTTGCGCTCCCTTCACTCCACCGGCTTCCAAGCCGCGCATTTGGGCCAGGCGATCGTAGAGGTCAACCGCATGGTTGGTGTTCCTCTTTCTATTTCTCTGGATTTTTCACATCGATTTTACAGTTCTTCATTCCATTATCTTATCGGATTTCAATACTATCGATCTTTTGTGTAGTTCACGAATTGCATGACCAGAGAGTTAATGTTTCTGCGTAAATGATGTTTTTCGATGGAAGACATTATTGGAATATCATTTTACAGATTGATCACGTTCAGATACTGGAGAGCCAGGGTGTTGGATCATACCTGTATAATTTGTAAGAATCTTGGAATTTACTTCTGGAAGGGCACTCTGCAACACAGTTTCAAATTTGGCTGAGATAACAGTGATGATTATTATCCTGTAATAGGAGATCATTGAGTTTTTTGTGTGATAAAAACCTTCCTCTGTTCGTAGTTCTTCTTATGTGCTTTTGTGTCATGCAGACAATGGGTTTCTTTTTCAGTGCTGCTCACGGTCTGCAAGAAAAGAAGCATTTTTTTTTTGAAGCGGATGACCTGAATCTTATTTTGTAGACTATTTTTCTTTGTGTTAAAATGTTTAGTGTCTACACATGTACAAACATTGTGAATCTAAGTGTCACTTTTCCAACTGATGACTTATCATGGAACTTTTGTATTGCAGCTAGACTGGCGGTTGAGTGATGATCCCATAGATGAAGACACTAATGATGATTATAAAGATCCAGAATATCGGAAAGGAGTGAAGTGTAAGATTTTCTTGGGATGTACTTCCAATCTCATATCGTCTGGAGTTCGAGAAACTATTAGATTTCTCATTGAACACAAAATGGTGAGTGCTTGTTTTCTCTTTCCTTATTTCTTTTATTCTTCATCTTGTCATCAAGATAGAACAGCCATGGTAGAGGTTCTCCACATTGTGACAGTTTAGGCCTCAAGATAGCACCTCTTGGCACAACGTTTACTATACAGAGAAAGAGCACATGTTTCACAGTTTCTGGTGATTAAATTGGCAGAGATCATGGTGGTGCTGCGCCTTCAGGTAGATGTGCTGGTTACTACAGCGGGTGGAATTGAGGAGGATCTTATCAAGTGCTTAGCACCCACTTATATGGGCGACTTCGCTATGCAAGGAGCCCAGCTTCGTTCCAAGGGTCTCAATCGCATTGGAAATCTGTTGGTGCCCAATGATAATTATTGCAAATTTGAAGATTGGGTTGTACCCATTCTTGATCAACTTTTAGTTGAGCAGAAAGATCAGGTTTGTTTTTGCATTGGTCCTCGTAAGCGGTTGCAAAGAGGAGAAAAGTCAAAGAGGATTACATTGGAGTGCATTTATATTGGTCTGGATCTCTAACAGCATACCTTAATGACGGGAGAGTAATTTCATGAACATACACAGGGTTTTAGATGAAACTTTTATTCAAGTCGTTTTAGTGTCTGTCTAGGAATTACTTTGGGGTTTTCAAACTGAACATTTTTCTGTTTTTGTCAGGGTACATTGTGGACCCCGTCAAAAGTCATAGCCAGACTTGGGAAGGAGATCAATCACCCAGACTCCATATGCTACTGGGCACATAAGGTATGCTGCTGTTTAGTATGAACAGTTGTCAGATTGTTGAGATGCCAGCACGCTGCTGAGTTCTTTTGGGCTGCTAACTCCTTATGATTTGTGGTTCAGTTGTAATAATTATTGCCATTATATCGCAGATTTACGGGTTTATTTGAGAGATTGTGTAACTGTATCGGTTGGAGAAGGATATTGACCTTGTTATCAATATCAAAGGAGTTCGTGTCAGCTACATTTTTGTAAGTTACATCTATGTTATTCTGACTGGTAGAGATGATTGAAATGCAGAACAATATACCTATATACTGCCCTGCACTTACTGATGGTTCGTTAGGGGATATGATCTACTTCCACTCTTTTCGCAACCCTGGCCTTGTCATAGACATTGTTCAAGGTAAGCATTGTACCCGGTTGGTCTTTCGCATGGTCACTATTTTCAATTAAACTCCTGTTTCCATTCCGACTTTGGAAATGTATGAACGACTTACAATGTTTCAATGGCGGCAGATATCCGGGGAATGAATGGTGAAGCTGTGTATGCCTCACCCTCAAAAACAGGAATTATCATTTTAGGGGGTGGCCTCCCAAAGCACCACATTTGCAATGCAAACTTAATGCGGAATGGAGCAGATTTTGCTGTCTTCATTAATACGGCCCAAGAGTATGATGGCAGTGACTCGGGAGCACGACCTGATGAAGCAGTCTCGTGGGGAAAGATCCGCGGCAATGCTAATTCAGTTAAGGTAGGCTGGTTCTGCTTTAAACTATGTCCATCAATTTTTCTTCGTACGTCCTTCCCAACTTTACGAATAATCGTTTTTTTCGAGATTTTCTGTTTCTAATTTAGGAATTTCACGTTTTTCAAAGCTTCAAAGTCTTCACTTATGTTCCTACTGTTTAAGAATGCAATGAAGCGAAAAGTAATCGAAAAACATGTTTTCTGTGTCACCAAAAACGGTGGTCAGAAAAATACGATAACGGAATACTGCGTTTCTTTGTAACTTTGGTCATATGTATCATGGTTTTTGAAATTCCTTCAAAACTCACGTATGATTCTGGATGGTTCTGAATCACAGGTTCATTGTGACGCCACGATTGCATTTCCCCTTTTGGTATCACAAACATTTGCTCCTAGGGTGAATCTGGAGGGGTACGCTAGGAGTGGATCTGATTCAAGTTAAATTACATGTGCAGCTGCACATTGAGCATACACACACATGCTGCGTTCCGTGGTTAATTTTTGTTACATCCAGATTAAGAAGAGATGTCATAGAACAGAAACCACAATACAGTGCATGTTTTGTGCATGTACAGTGGTAGGATTAATTACATTATTGGATTTGATTTTCGTAAGGTATCGTTTCTTTGTAGCAATTTGTGACGTAGATTTCTATTATTGTTAAGTTTCGGACTTACAAGTCTGAAGTGGATAATTAGAACATTACATCTCCATTCTTCATTGCTACTGCGGTGAAAATACGAACCTAACCCTCAGAAAACATGTTGCACTTTTATTACACCAATTTGGTAGGACACGTCGTGCCGAAGTCTTAGTTGGACTGAGGGGTTGTTTACACTGAGTGAACATCTGCAACACCAACGGTTAATTTTTTTTTAGAGTGTTCCGGATTTCATCTTGAAGATTGTAGTTTACCTGGGGTGTGTCAAATTTTCATAACATTTAGTGTACACACCAATTCATATTATATTAATATTTTTTTAATCCAAATCTATAATTGTTTTTATCTAGTATGTATTAATGATCAAAGTTGAGAATTGAAATTGAGAAGTAGAACACTGTATTATAATTCTCTTTTTAATTATGCAGCTATCAGTTTACTGCAGCACCCAATAAATCAAATAATTTGTTTGATACCGTACTAAAAACACAATCAACACAATTGAACTAAGATACTAGGGTGTGATTTGAATTAGATAGAAATGAAACATAATGTTTTAATTTGAATGGTTCTTCTGAAACTTCTCAAATTGTTTCGATAGTGATTCTCCTTCTCGTCAGTTTTACTTTAAAAAAGTTTGCAGAGTTTAAACGAACCCAATTGGTAGTTTTGGAGGCTATGAATTACTGGGATCAATGACATCAAAAAAAAGTTAGAAATCATGATCGTAATTTACATTTGGGATGAATATGTTTCAGTCGGGTGATAATTTAAAACATTAAAACTCAAACCTGAGAAAATCCTGTTCGACAGCATAACTGGTTCTAACATTTAGTAAAGAGAATTTGTTTCTGACGTTTTTCTCTTTAAAAAAATGGTTAATAGTAGATTTTCAGATCCACAACTTCCAAGCTCCTGTTCATACTTCACGTGTTTTACAGCCCCATTTTCTCGAACATGATTTCAGTGACAAAACCGAAACCTCTACCGACCTAGCAATGTCGGAACTACTTTCACTGGGATCAGGGCTCAGATATGTTTCTGGCAGAGACGGTAAAAGTTTCCCTCATTGTTGCCCTCGGGGCATGGACCAGTATACCTTTCAAAGCAAAATCCTGTATAACCCAATACGTGTTCTTGCGCAACAGAGTTGCACACCCATCAACCAACAAGCACTCGTACACACTCACAATTCCACAATTGAACCCTAAGGCAAGCTTGAAAAAAATGCGAGCGACACTGTTAGTACACATCCTCAAACCCACAAACCCCAGCTCACCGGAAATAAAGGACGGTGCAATGCCCTATGGATGAATGGTTACAGGCCACGAGGCTCAGGAGCGCCCATCTACTTCGTCCCGATACGGGCGGTAGGGATTTCGATGTGTTCTTTGAGTATTCACCAGCGCTGATGCTGCTGCTGCTACAAGCCTGTTGAGTTTAGATGTTGAGGAGAGATTCAATGGATTTTGGGTTTAGTAGGAAATGGGTAGCGAATGTGATCTAGCGAACGAGACATTGGACTGGTGAGGTGATCGCACGGATGTTTGGATGGCAGGATGTGGTAAGGATGGGCTTGTCTCTCGGGCTCCTTCGTCCGTTACCTGAAGCTGATACAAAGAGAAATTTGTTGTAAGAGTTCATTGTTAAGGATCTGGATAAGGAGGGATAGTAATTTGTAATATGGGGTCACTTAAGAACGAGAACGACCAGAGAGAAAGAGAGGGTTGTTTTGGTGTTATGAGTGTAGAGTCGGGTTTGGAAGGCAAGAGAATCCATTTGCTGCCGTGCGGCACCAATTATACTGGTCCTGCTCCTGTGGAAGACTACTTCAAAATCAAAGCAGCTGGTTAGTTGGCTTTGTGACTCCCATTTTGATTCACACGATTTTTTGACCTGTATTCTTTATGTTTGACTTTCACGAGTGCCACATTTTACACGTTCGCAATTCTACGACTTCCCAAGTTTCCTCAATTTAAGGGCTGATAAATCGTCGGAAGAAATCTGATCCTATTCCTATTCCGCTGCTTCTATGTTCTATGAGTTCAGTCAGCGTGGATTCATCATCAGAGTAGTTTTTCTCTTAAGAATAGAAATTAAAGTGATGATAATATCTTTTCACTGAGATTGGATTGTGAAACAATGACGGAACATTTAGCAGTCGAGTTGTGAAGGCTAATCTCTATTCCAGGTCTGCAATGCAGCTACGTAAAAGTCTTGTGCAGCTTAGGGTTCTCACCTGCCTAAGTGATCAATAAGAGTATATAGAAAGTGATCCACATTAACTTATGGGAGTTTATCTTGTGGAAGCAGATAACAAACATTTGATTTGGTTAACGTTCGTCGCTCATCATTTGAATTCTTTTTAATGTAACAGTTCTGGAAATTGAAACACTCAAGAACTTGTGCTGATGTAGGTTCAAACGAGGATGGCATTGTAATGGAGGAGGCAGCGTTTAGAGGAAGGAAACTAATGGGTTCCAGGCTTCCCCTTCCGGAGGGCTTTTGCGGTTACCTCTTGACCCCCCCCCCCCCCCCCCCCCCCCCTGGGCATGCCCTCATCTTCTCGTTTTCTTTGGGATTTTCTTTAGTTTAAAGTTCTGGGTAGTCTTCAGGATCAGTCTACAGGCATTATTATCATCAGACCTTATTTCGTGACGATGTTTATGCACTCCCCTTCAGCCATCTTGTCTTACTGGACTTGGTCACTCATAACGCAGATGTCTTGGTGGGTGGCAGGCTTTGTTTTAAAGAAGGTTATTGGATCGAATAATGAGAATGGAAAGATTAAGGTGAAGTCATTAGAGAAGGACGGCTTCGATGTGTGGAAAGCAGATGCAATGTTTGGAGAGTTCTCCTACTGGAATCATGATACTTTGCCCACCAAAGACGACAGTATCCGCTCAGTTATGGAGTGGCTTCCAGTGTCTGCAGCTGTAAGTTTCCTATTGAAAATTAACTCTTTTATCTTCGCGTTTGAATAGGGATAGTCTTTTTAACACGTTTGTCTAATCCAACACGATTAGGGGCATCGTCCTTCTCAAGGTTGATCACTTATTGCATTGTTAAAGCTAATTTTTTCAACGTTGATTTAATATGTAGCTGCACGAAGAGGTGACGGCAGACGGCGCGGCAGTCATTGCCGAGAAAATGAAATTACAATCAGGTTTGCACATCAAATGTGAATCCGCCCAAGTTTTATATTGAAGCTTTCAGCTGTGCTAAGCATGTTAGTCAGGCATAGTATTGTTGCTGAAGTCGCATATTACAATGAGTAATTGGTTTGTGGAACACTGCAAGATCATGGTTGCAACCTAATTCCATGTGCTATTGTTTGACTGAGAGCCCCTTGAGAAGATATGTGCTCACAATGGTTGTATACTTCGATTTTTCTTGACGCAGAATCTTTAGCAGGATCAAAGAGGAAGCTGTAGGAGCATATTCAATCTCTGAGATTGTTTTGACACCCCCCAGAACACAACTGCTCGGTCAGATGCTCAAACTAAGATAGCTTTGTGTTGTGGGCATCAAGCTCATTCAGAGGAGGATTTCACTGTTTTCATTTGTTTAGAATTTCATAACAAGGCTAAGCAACCGGCATCATCTCTTCTTTTTGGTAGCTTCTGATTTTATTCAAACTGTTGTACTATGACTTGTACAATTTTCCAAAAGGTTATATGGTCTCTTTACCTACTTGTTGCTTAACCACGGCCATTTCTATTTTTTTGTTTATTTATTGTTTTTCATAGGGCCTTTGCCACTTTAACAGCCTTTTTGTTTATCTTTTGTATTTTTTTTTATTTCTTAAGGGTTTTAATTTTACATGTAATTTTATGATATGTTTCTTTTTACTTAAGTTATTTTAGTGCATCTTCTATATTTAAATGCATTATATTTTAGTATCACAATTTTTACTTGTCCAATACCTATAACAAATTGTATAGTTGCAATTATTCTTAATTTTTTAATAAAATATTAATATAGTGGTATAAAATATTTTATTTACTTTCATGGTACTTAAACTCTTCAAAAAATAATAATAAATTGTTTCATTTTTTTTAAAAAATAATATCTTATTTAATACATTCGTAACTAATTTTTTTAGATTAATTATATTTCTATGTATAGGCAAATGTATTTAGTATAACATAAGATACTTTGTTATTATATAATTAAATATATATACATAAGACATGTGTTTTTATCTTAATCCTTTTTTTATTGATCCATGTGTTAATTTCTAAGCAATATTGGAATTTTTAGATTTAGTTGTTTTAGTTCTTTCTATCTTCACACTATTTTTTTTTTTTTTTTTTTTTCCCCATAATATCTAAATTTTTATAACTATTTCTTTCTATATTTTTTATTGTGCTACTTATAAACAAAATCTTTATTTTGGAATCTTTTGTTTCTATCATCAATAGCTAGTAATACAATTATAAATCCTTTTGGTTTTGATCTTTCAAAAGATTGACATTCTTGGCTAATGTAGGAGGTATTACTAGAACTTGGATTTGTAGGAAGAACAAGAAAAAATAATATTAGATTTTATTTTTATTTTTATACAATGCAATATATTTTAACAAATATTTTTATGTTTTTTTTTACTTTTGTTCAAAATGTTTAGAATAACATAGCCCACAAAATAACCTTTTTATACTTTGATTATACTTGAGACATAAACAAAAACCAAAGCTACCTCAAAATTAAAAAGTAGTAGTATATACCATTGTGATCGCCATTGGGAGCAAAGATAGAAAAGAAGTTATTTAATTTGATATTTACAACATTGTCACACTACATTTAGCAAAATATCTTAAAGCAAATACTACCTATCACAAGATCCAATCATCTACTTTTATTAAATATCATACAATGTATTCTTAATGAATGTTAAATTCAAACGTTTAATAACTAAATATCAAAGGTGTAATTTATACACCTTTTGTACCACTCAATATTACGTAAATATTTAATTGGCTTCTATAGTAAAAAACTTGTGCATACCTAGGGTACTTTAGGACAAGTGAGATGACATAAACAAAATTATCCTTTTGTAGAGACATTTTTAACAAAGAACCACATCATGAAGAAAATAACAATATTATTGTAAAGATTTTTCTTAACCATAGCTCTTTTGCAATTTGATATTGATGTAATTCTAAAATTTTACCATCATTTAACAAAAAATAACACAATCAAAAAAGAAAACTCAACTTTCTAATTTATGTTTGTAATAAAAATATTTAAGAGTTCATAGGATGTTAACAAAGATGTATCACACATTTTTATTCCAAACTTTGCAATAGTAAAACCAATCTAACTTTCTTACATCGACAAAATTTGAAATCTTACACCAAAGTTTTTATTACTGAATGTTGCCTAGTTGCAAAAGACAAGCTAAAAGCCCTCTACTTGTCCAAATCATCAACTTAATGATAGTAATTTCTAAAATTCACTACTATTATAAGATATCAACATAAAGTAACAAATACCACCTTAAAACAAATGTTTGGTCTAACAATAATACAACTCAATTTATTTGTTGTAAATCATTTGATAATAGAACCAATTTGTGGATCTAATGTGAATTAGTTATAATACATATTATGCTATTTTATTTTTATTATTATCAATTGTTTCTTATCTCCAAAAGACAACCAAACACAATCATAATACTAAATACTAAAGACAAATTTTTCTAAAGTAAAAAAATCTTCCTCCTATCCCCTCAAAAGATGCACTATTTAATGAATTCCAAGTTGATGTTCTATTGGTTTCTCCATTCTCTACACAAACTTCCTCAAGCAATCTTCTTCCTCTAACACCCTCTTCTATTATGATCAACAATGAATCACATGTCATAGATTGTGTGGAGGTGCATTGCTACAGAATTTGTGAGAAGGAAACGATTCAAAGGTTATATAAGACAACATTCTAATGAAAGGAATGAATCTATCGTGCGATTTGAAGTCAACAGATGGGTAGAGAGAAAGACACGACGCAGGGTACACCGACAGTTATTTTACAAGCCATGTATTTTGAGCAGTTTGATTTGTTCCTGCACAAGCTCAACTACGAGATCCTTGTCGACGTCTTGCAGGAATGCGTCGAACTCGTTGCGCAAGTCATGGACCTTACCAAATTCAAGCAGGTAGCGCAAACACTCACGCTTCAGATCCTTGAGCTGGTAGAGCCATGCGTCATGCAGCCTGACTAACACATTGCTACCGTCGATGTCGTCTACTAAGCTCGACTCGCAGGCCTCCTTCAGGTCCACGATGTCATATTTGTGCGCCGCCCGCACGAGGGCAACCCTGTGTTTTCGAAAGTCTGGGTATTTCAAATTCCCATACAAAAAGCTGAGGAGCGCACGACAAGACTCCAGGCACATGTCGTTTATGCGAACTGTGGCGGACTGCTTTTCCATCAAGTTGTGGGAGAACATGGAATCGAAAACAGGGGAACGTGCTGCAAGGATAGCGCGGTGAGCGCCTACGCAACCAGTGGCCGAGCAAATCGTCACGTCGGTGTGAAGACCCTCTTCCAGCATTCGAGACAGGCACCGGGCTATACCAACCTCAGCTCGCGATTGTAAGTATTCTTCGCCTGTCCAGATAGAATGTGGATCGCCACTCTGCACATCATCTGAGAAATTTTGAAAATGCCCCATAACCAACATGCAGAGCTTTCTGAAAGCTCTGGAGTCCTTCTGCACTACGTTAGTAGACTTCGGCTTGCTATGGAAGGAACAAGACAAGTTATACGTTAAATCCGAGCTCATTGCATGTCGAGTTGTGAGATCTCTCCTGGACTCATTTCGAGCAAACTAGGATAACAATGAGCAACGAGTGAAAGTGATACAGAATTTGTGAAGAAAAGCTCACATGCGAGGATGCTACTTTCAAATCGTGAAATTCAATTTCCACAAGAAATCTACCGTATGCCACAGAGTATTCTAATGGCCACATGAAGTCATCAGAGCTGCTCCGAAGCAACTTGTCACTAACTGCCACATCCCACAAGACAAGTGAAGAATTAAGCTCCATACTCGAAGATTTTTAAGGTTGGAGCAGAGGCAGCATGGAGGCAGACGTGCTGGCAAGGGGGAGAAAATTTAAAGTACCTATCAAACCCTTGGATTCCACACGTTGACCATCGCTACCTCGGACCAGAATCCGAACCGTGAAAGTGGCAATGGGCGATGGCTCCTTGCGGCAATGTTCTGGGTATAGACGCACGATCAGGGATGCCTTTTTCTCGATGAGTATATGCCTACAAAATTAGCTTTCAAGTTGTAAGCACCACAACAGCCCCCACTTCTACAGACAGAGCATTCCATAAAACAAGGTTTTTGACCCCAGCATGCCGGATGGGCATCTAGTTTGTTCGAAATTCGGTGAGTGAGTTGATTGAACTTATTCACGGACGTTACAATTCAAAGCACGGATCAAAGTCTTTCCATGCAAGAAGTCCAAGAAATCCATTGGTGCACGAAAGTAGAAGTCAGTCGCAGGAAGAGGATTACCAGTTCCAGAGGCCGATTTTGAAAGGATCTGATCGACGATAACAGCCAGTTCCGAGGCTGTCCACACGCAATTGAACAAGCCTTGTGGTTGTCTCCACTTTGGAAATACAGTCTGCCATGCCTGTCTGTAAGAGCAATCACCACGGAGTCCCTGGGGTATAATACAATCAGCACGCTGCGGAGACGGCCTGTCCCCTTTTCCTTTATCTGGTTCTTCCCAATTCGGTCGGCGTCATTAGATGATTATTGTTGTTGTGTCCACCACGATAAAAAGGATTTCCGTATCAAGGATTCCTGTGCACCTTAAGGGACAAGAATCTCATGATGCTTAGATCACATTTTCTCTGTTTCTGAGTTAGAAGCAGCAACTCTAGTCCCGAATGTAAAATTCGCCTGCACACCCTCACGAGGACTCTTCCAAACTTCGCGATTGCTTAACATGTTAGCGCCGTCATTGTGAATTAGACCAGCTAATTACATTTGGCTTGTCGGAGTGCAAGAACAGCAGAGCTTTTGCCCGCTTCAGAAAAGGATTTCTTTCTCAAGCAAGAGCTGCAGTGATTGACTAAAGACATGTCCCCCGATCACATCGGCGAGGTACATGAGCGTCTGTTCCTGGCTGAATCACTCCGAACCACAGAAAATCGAACTGCAGGACACGTTCATCAACCGCATCCAACAGTACCCAAAACGTCACGCCAGCACACTGCAATAATTTAACTTCCCCGCACCCCCGACCCCAAGCACAATTACGAACGAACGACCCTCATGCGGCTTCTACGCAACAGAGGAGCCCTGCAACGCACTCGGAATAAGTTGATGTGTATTTCTCAGACTCACCAATCTCATCATCCGCCAGTGCTCAAAATCCACAAACGTTCAGCTGGGTAAAGCTACAACCACACATCAAACTCTCCTCAACGCGAGACGATGGCGGAGCCAAGCTAAGCGAGTGACGATTCCGATTGTCTTCGCAAGTGACGAGAGGAATTCCATGAATCTTCGAAAGGAAGCAAACGGGGAACCATCAATGCTAACCTCCAACCCTAACACTACCATGCGAAGTCAAAATCGGACAAGCCAACACCCACAACCAAGTGCATCCCAGGGAGCAGAATCGGCGCGCCTCGAAACAAACGCCGCGTGACAAAGGCCACCGTGGTAAAGCAAGAGCTTGGTGCCCCGCTCCCTTCACTGAGAGAGAGAGAGAGAGAGAGAGAGAGAGTGACTAGTTTATTGCACAACGAATGGGTGCAGTCAGGCAGGCACGCAGGCAGGCTCGGATGATGATGCAGAGAAGCGAGAGCCGGGATGGGCACAATTGGGCCTGCGCTGTCGCTCCTCCTCCGGTACGCACGCCATGTGAGTACTGGTAGCGCAGAAGCACCAGCAGCGTAGCTAGCTAACTAGCTTGGTAGAATAATAGAATACATACAAGGAAAAGGAAAAAGGACAGAAAAGTAGAATATTTGGCTGGCGAACTGCTGCTGCTGCTTCTGTTGATGCCTAATTCTCGGAGGAGCATTGGCGATGGCGGCTGAATCCTTTCTCCTTTTGCTTTGCGTTGCGTTGCTTTGGCGATGCGTCGTGGTCCCGTTCTCACTCTGCATGCTTCGTAGTGGTGGTGGTGACGGGCCTTGGTAGCGGGGCCGGTACTCGTGGCTCCCGGTGGAGTTTCTGAGGGCTTTTTCATGCGCTCTTCACTTTATCGCCACCCTCTGTATCCAATCTTCTCATTTGGTTTCCTTCTTTCTGTTCATTTGGTTTCTATTTCCATTACTTCATTCATTCTTATTCTATTTTAGTATCATTTTTATTGTTATTATTTTTATTTTTTTTGTGTAATCTAGTTGATTACGTTTGTATTGTATGTTGTGGTTTTTGTCTTTTATGGGTTTCTAGGATTTTTGCCTTTGGTGGCATTGTTTTTGTGGCTGTGGTCATTTTGTGCAGTTCTTTTTGGGGGAATTGGAGCTTGGTGGGATTGTTTTTTGTTTGGGTTTGTGAACTCTGTTTGTATGTTTATTTCGTTCTTGTGAGGAGGTGGAAGACATTGTGTGTTCATATAATGTGTGCCACCAATTGCCTTCTATATTTGGTAAGGAAATGATTATATATATTTAATTATTTATATATATAATTTAGGAGACTCTGATTTATATTTGGAGACTCTCCAATAAAATGTCTGATTTCACCAATCCATGGCATTGCTTGCTATATTTCCACTACTCTTTGCTGATTTTACACTTCAAAATAGTGTGGTTGGTTTATTTTTACCAAGATTTAGTAAATCTGTAAATAATACTTGTATGATTTATTTTATGGGCCATTATGTAACATATTTTCTCAAATCCAAAATAAAAATAAAATAAAATAAAATATCATTCATATTCACCTCAATTTTTGGAAAGTTGAAAAAACAACAAGAGCATTCTCATATTTCAGTAATTTAAAAAGAGCATATATATATATATATATATATATATATTACTTATACCATAAAAGCCACTTTATATTACCACGTAAATTATAATCCAATATATTAAAAAGGAATTTCTAAGGCTCCAACCTTGAAGAGCATCCACCGACCCTACGACGGGCTGGAAGGGGAATCTTCAAGTCTCGACCCCGCCCGGCCCGGCCCGGCCCGACCCGACCCGACCCGCCGCCCATCCACGATCGTCCGAGTTGGCAACATCGGGGACGTCGAATACCAACCGTATGAATGGACGGCTGAGATCGCGTTCACCAGCAACTATGCATTTTCTGAACAAAAGTAACACAGCAGAGCTTGGTTTCCACCTCCAAAGCTCGTATGCTAAATGCCTTCATAATTTCCTTTAACTCCCACCAACCACAATCTGGTCTTGTAGGCAAAATTAATTCCTTTCAATGATTTAAAATGAAAAAAATACATAGCATATGGTATCCAGTATTTACAACGGGAAAGACGATCCAATGAGGAGTTGAAGTTCTGATACGATATTGAATTAAGGAATGGATGCATCATAGAGGCTGGAGGTCAAGGTACCCACTTCCAGGATGGAAAGATAAATCTCTTCAGCTGAATAAATTCACAGCACCAATCTGGTACTCGTGTTGTGTCGGTTTTTTAGTTGAGGCATTTCTGTGATTCATTATCAACCACGGTGCCGTTGTTGACTTGTATTGTATAGCCTGTGAATTGATTTTTTTCTTTTTCTTTTGTGGTGGGGATATTGATCGTGTTCAGGAGTAGAGCTTCATCCATTTTGCAAGGTTGAGTGAATGATGCCTGTCAGTGGGGTAAAGCTCCAGGATGTAGATGCAGCTCGAGTAGTATGTCGACATGATCACCCAACAAGCGTGCCAGAAAAGGCTATTTAATTGGGAAGATGTTTGGCTAAACTTGCAAAAGCCAGGGCTGTGAATCCAGTTACTTTCCAAGGATGTCATTTCAGGGGTTAGAATGCAGCAGTGTGATGGTAATCAGTTGCAGGACTGCAAATACTCAGTCTTTATACGTTCTGATGGAGAAATTCAAGGCTGCGATTATGAAAATCACTAGGTACAGAGCTCAGAACGTATTTGCTTTTACGTCCGTAGGTAGTTATCACATGGCACCAGTTCGTGAGAGAGCACCCTGGCATAAGAGTTGTGGGCCACGTTCGCACAGCCACTCATCAAAAGAAAGATAAAAGTGAATAGTCTTACACGTTTTTGTTTCGTTTTCGAAGGTTGGTACGTATTGATTAGAACACAAACTAGCTACACCACACTGTGGTTATGGGCTAGGTCGACCATACATGGCCAGCGCTCGACCAGTAACACAGGGGACGCTTCAGAAATGCACAGAAACCAAACGCCGTCTTATCGCTAGCCAAAAGTCGTTCGACCAACTTTTTGGCAGATTGCGGAGACCACTGTCCTGTGGAGAGTGATCTTAGGCTAGATAATGGAGCCATCCAGCTTATGCTCTCGATCACAAAGCAAGAGGTCCTGCGTCATTGGTCATGGATTGCACCATGGCAGCAGGGCGAGCGCTGAAACTGGTAGCCTTCGCAAAGAATCGAGTACTTGTAGATTCATCTCCTGACTCGGTGAAGAAAGCACCATTCAGGAACATGTCACCTGAGGATCTCCAGTTCCAACTGTCTTCGTTCTTGTTGCCTCCGTCTTCGATGCGCTTGGTGACCTGCACAAGATCTCATACTCAGTTCCTTCGCACAAATTTGATTCATTCCTAAGGATGCGAAGACAAGTGAGTGGTTCCATTCCACGGACTTTGTTATGGAAAGCGTTTGACAGCCTGGATTGATTGCGAAAATCTAAGACGAGCAGGAAGTCTACCTGTTTCTTGACCTTTGAATCGGGAGCGAAGAAACGGTTTCCCTCACTGTTTATGATAGGATTTTCACTTCCTCCAATAGCATACATTCCCCATCCTTGATAATTGTTGTTGACTATATGAAATGTACCCTGTCGGCACCTACAACACCATGGAACGTTGATGAATATGCTCTCAATGAGGAACTTGCAATCCGCAGCAATGGCTTCTCTGGCGTGAAGTAATATGTGGAATCAAACCAGGACCAGATATGCTACACTCACCTTGGCATGCGCTCAATGAGATTTGCTCCGAAGTGGTTAAAGGCGACAGTGACTCTCATGCCCTTGTCTATTGAGTCTTTCGGGTGAGCCCCAAGCAACATCACCTGCGCAGACAAAGTGACAAGTAGCAACGACTCAAAACCTGACGCACTAGGTTTCCGCACATAGTTTTCAGAAACTTTTCAATTGAGAAGCGTCCACGTCTTTTGTTACTTTTGTCCAATCCACATTTTCCCATGACCATAACGAAGAAAATATGCGGGCGATACCATTAATTGCGAAGAAACAGTTTACCTTGTCGTGGTTCTCAAAGTAATTGTTAGAGATGGTAACATCAGTGGATCCTTGAATGACATCAACAAGGCCGTCAGCGCAGTTTGAGAAGTAGCAGTGATCTACCCAGATGTCGTGTGAGCCGAAAATATTGATGCCATCCCCATCAGTTTTGCCTCTGCTTCCGTAGTGGGATGGAGAGCTCCTTACATGAGCAGGTCCGGTGACTTTACAATCGTGAATGTGAATATTGTGGATAATGATGTTACTGACATGTTGCAGCGTCAGACACGCTCCTCCTGCAATGTGGACATTGTACCCACGACCATCTAGGCTCTTGTAGCTGTTCATGATAAGCTCCTGCTTGAGTTTAATATTCATGTTGCGGCTGAAAACAATCCAAAGAGGCTCGACTTGAATGACACCGTAGCGAAGTGTTCCCTCTTTGGGGTTTACAACGTCGTCGTCGCCGTCATCTGTGACAACATAAACTCTTCCATTCTTACCACCGATGGCATTCTTGCCGAAGCCAAGGGCGCAATCTGCAAGCTGCTGTCGGTCCTTAGTCCAGTTTGGATTGCACCTCCAGCAATCATCGACAGGGTTGCCATTGCCACACCCTCTAAGATCACCCCGGTTCGAAGTGGACCTGCGTCGCACCAAAATAACACTTAACGTTAGACTCGCGCAAACATTAAGTGCAGCGTAGTGCAAAAACTATTTCCTTAACAGTTGTTGCGCAACACACATTGCTTGTACAAGGGAGATTCTTTCGAAGCTCCCACTCCAGACACATTTCCCGAAATTGTTCAGACAGGGCTTCAGACCGAAACAAGAAACCACTAAAAAAAAAATCCAGCCCATCAAAACAAGCTCCTATCCCTCGTGGCAACATCATATCAAAACGCAAACAAATGAACATAGCATGTGCTTCACGACCTTCATTTTAGCAAGCTTGACTTAACGGCATTGTGTGGGTCAACAGCATCGAAGTTAACACACAAACTCTTAAAACACACACACACACACACACACAAGGAAAAAGGAAGGAAAAGAAAACTAACCTAAACTCTGAGTCCGCAGCACTCCTAAGAGTCTCGTGAGCAGAAACGGAGTGAAAAGCACCAGGCAGATGCGCCTCCTCAAGCTTCATAGACCCACCAGAGGCAAGGGTCCTCACAGCCTCGCAACCTAGCCACTCCCACTGACAAAGAAAAGCAACGACACCCCAGGCCATGGATTGTTGCCACACCGAGGCCGCCATCGCAGCAAGCAGCAAGCAAGAGGTGAGAGTCCACACTCAACCAAACAAGGCCTCCAAACCCGATTCGTCCAACCCACTTCAGCTTCTCACGACACAAAAAAAAAGCCCCAGCTCGCAGAACAATACACCCGGGCGGGGCACATCATTCCCGCAAACAGTAATGCCTCCACTCGTACTGACACGACCTCAGGATGTCCCCGATCTCGCAAGCGGGAGATGTAATGGCACGATGGTGGAACTGTGACGTTGAGCGCCAACCAAAGCCAGATGGCGAGAATGGGTAATGTGGGTGTTACAGGAGGGCTTCTTAACGGCGTGCACGCGACGCGAAATCAGCTGCCCGGGACTGGAATTGCGCCTCTATAACTTACTCCTTCTGCTGCAGACACTTCCTGACGGTGTCAGAGAGGCTGAATTCAAGCAAGCAAGCGTGAGACCAGTAACGAAACTCAGTGTAAGTTAACTGAGCGGTGCCTAAATTCTAGCTGCAGGTCTGCAATTCCATCCGAGTCTTCTTCATTAAACGGAGGACTTGGTGGGGGGGGATGTAAATAATTAATTCCAAGTGGGGATTATGTGTTTGCTTCTTCCGATGCAACACGTCTCTCTCGCATCTGGGCTCCAACTCTGCGGCGCTTGTCGGCGCGATTTTATCGATCCTGCCGCGGGCTTCGGTGGAATTGATGGATCGATTTATGGATGAATGTAAGATCGGATGAATGATTGGATGCCGTAGTGGATGAGGAACTCGTCCCCCGGTTTGAATGTGTTCGCTGGAGGCGTTGACTTGGAGTAATAGATAAAAGGCGCTTTAAAACGAAGAAGAAGGAAGAAAAATAAAATAAAATAAAATAAAATGGGGGGGAGTTCTTTACTACGCGGGTTTTTGTTATTAAGGTGTTAGAAAAGTGATAATTGAGAACAATACGCTTTTTGTCATTGTTTAAGGAAGAAGTTTTTATGTATAGAAAAAGGTTGTGTTTAATTAATTAATTATATATATATAACAATGATAATAGTAATATTATTATTTAAGAAAAATTTGTCTACGTATTCGTTTTTCTTTTTTTTTGAAAATTACGTTATGACACGTTTCTTAGTATTTGAAACAGTAGATGTAGCATATCTAAATCGTTCAATTTCTTTTTTCGTAAAATTCTTCTGTTGGAGAAAGGTTTTCATTCTTCCTCTTTGTTTCTCCCCACAATTGTACACACCAACGTGTAATATTTTTGGAAAATATGCAGCATTCCATGCCAGTTTCTTTTCTTGCTTTACTATACAAAATGTAGTTACAAAATACAGTAGCTTGGTTATATGATCAGTGGTATGAATTTTATTTTATTTTATTTTATTTTTGAACAAATCAATGTCTTTGGAATTTTTTAATATTATCATAGATGCTCTCAAGTAAACACTTAAATTAAAAGTGAATAAGAGACGTATCTGTGGAAAAATGTACTTCTCACAATTAAAATTATATTCGTTAAAAAATAAAATTCATGTCACCAAAATTATTCCATTCTGTGAATCTTAAAACATAGTTGCAAACATGCTGATAAGACACAAATATTACAAAAAAAAACATTGAAAATTCAATAAATAAATGAAAATCAACATATATGTATGGTTCTAAATTTAGAGGCAACGTAGCCTTGTGGCCTGGTATTACTTCAACTGCAGGTGCATTGTTTCCACTTCCACCCGATACTTCATAAGCTGTAAATTAATTTCTTCATAAAAGAGCAACATTAATAATGGATTCCATACTTTGCATGACCACAATGCAGCAGCTACAATTGACCTTGGCAAAAAGGTTTTATCCGTTATTGAAAATATTGTTCATTTTAAGCATCTTTGAAAATTTTCTCATACTTGGTATACATATAATTTCATGATGGTCAGTTTAGACATATAATTATATCTTCCAATCCCAATGTCACTAGATCTTTATTGTGCTTTTATTATTAAATAAATAAATAAAATAAAATAAAATAAAAATCTGAATAAGCTATCCATGTACTGGTCCACATTTTGGCATCACTTGAAAAATAAAATTTCACAAAAAAAAAAAAACAAAACAAAACAAAACAAAAACAAAACAAGAACAATCAGAAAGTTCTCATTAATGTTTTTAATTATTATTTTCCAAATGGTTTTTATTTGTTTATAATTAACTTGAAACACAGTGAAACATATCACATGCTAAGACATCTAGTATGTATTGCAGTTCCCATGAATAATGTGAATACCTGGTTTTGTAGTGAACATCAAATTGTGTAAACAAAAAATTAATTAATTAATTAATCTAGTGCATCTCTCATGTAGAAGATACACCGTTTTTCTTTTTTCTTTTTCTTTTCTTTTTCTAAGTAAATCCTACAATTGTCACAAAAGATAAACTCACACATTAGGTTGATGTTCTTTACAAGAAGCTTCTTCATGTCGTACCCCCCCCCCATGTCCTTTTAAAGGTTATCTTACAATATGGACAACCTTAATCTTAAGACTTCATGCCGTGTAATGTGAATATGAAAAATAGTACGGTTTGAAAGCACATGTTGCATGCTAAAAAAGCTGTGTGGACCCATGTTGCCAAGTGAGGCTCAAGCATAGAATTGAACTATAGTCCTTGTACTTTGCAAACCCCACCATTAATTAATTCATGCTTGAATTGTGCCTATTCATGATTGAATTACAAACCCTTGTTGAGCTTAATAAAGGTTGCCTTTGCTAGAAAGGAGGGTGTAGTAAACTCAAAGCTAATAGTTTGTTGAGGCAAAGAAGAGTTGGCTCCACTAGGGCTTCAAAAAAGGTAAAATTTACAAGGGGAACAAGAAGAAGAGGAAGACGAAGAAGGAGAAGCAAATTATTGTTAGTTTGAAGGGCCATGTTCCTGTCTACGAAACAACAGTCACCTGAATTAGAGGACACAGAGTTTGTTCAGATTGTCCATAAACTGAGCGTTCCGCAAAGTGAACCAGTCAGTCCCTTTGGAGTAGAAAAAGGAGGCCATCCAGATTGCATAGAAGGCTAAGAACCCCAAATTGCAGTAGAATCATCGATTCCAAACTTGTACAACTGAACACAAAATTCTTTTGGGCTCGACCTCTTCCACCAAATTTTAGCTTCCTAAAGATCTCTTCCTCTTAATGCCTCTCTGATGATTGTTTATATATACATATACATATATACACAAGCATATAAATGTGTATCTATCTATCTATCTATATATATATATATATATATATATTGAATCATAGACCAATCCTCATTGTGACACACTCCGCAATGGACGAAAGCTTTCAGGTTGCAACGAGTCACAAACGGTGAACAAAATCAGACAAACAGGACTGGTGCAGTTGTCCTTCTGGGAGAAATGCAGGCTGCTGGGATCCGGATGGACAAAAATTGTGAAATCCTGACCCAGTTCCGAAGAGGATGAGTCTTGGTCGTGAACCCACGCCTGCTGAAGATTTTTTTTATGCAACAATTGTGAAGCTCATGAGTTCCCATCCTTCCGGCTTTAATGAGTGCAACAGTGCTTCGAGATTTGCCTTCTGGTCGTAGAGTCTGCAAGTTTGATCTAATGGCCAGATTTTACGTGCATGATGAACAGAATTGCGAGAAGGCAAACTGCTATGATGCCCCCCATTATATACTTGTGACGTTCAAAACGCTGGGATAAAGAACTCAGTAAACGCCTACTCTTTGCTATGCCATCGGCCACTCCATGAATCTGCAAGTCGAAACATCACACCTATTGCGAATCGCTGGTAGGGTTTTTTTATTTTTATTTTTATTTTATCAAATACAACCTCCAGAAATCTTCAAAAGCAGAATTTGCAGACATTGGTTACAGAGGGTTTACAGGAACCCACAGTGTGTTGAGTGTGAAGAAGCGTCTGGTGCTGGAGTTGAAGATCTTGAAGAATATTTACGCCCACCTCCTCCGTTTCATTAAGCTGTCGTCTGCTCTCTTTGATTCGTTCACCAGTTTGGTTCATTCTGTCGGTTGCCATCATCAATCTGTCTCTTTGATCCAATCCTGGCTGCAGCGAACACATCCTGTTAAATTAGTTCGCCCTCAACTCAATGAAGCCGAGGAGCATGACTCATCCCGTTGATTGTGCATCTCAACCCATGTTGAATTAACCTAAAATTTGCAAACGGTTGACCAGTCGCTTGTTTAAGGCACTATGTTTCATTGTTAGGTTGAGCAACCCGTGACAAAATGGATCTACCATCTTGCGAGAGACCTTTTTGTAGGAATACCACCGAAAAAGGGATAGGAAAAAATAAAGAAAAAGATCAAATCTACTGGACTTGATACTTTGGGATGGAACACGAAACATGTTCCGAAATGGCTCGACACTTCATTGCCATTATCTGCTTTTTCACTCAAAAGAAGGAACAGATTGTGCTTGAGCTTTTTTAAGGTGAGGAACGCACCCCTAAATGACGGCCGACAAGACCAGGATTTAGCAGCTCATCCCTGGCTGAAAAAGGATCGTTCGAGGCCAAGATTTTTTTAGCTTCGCGCTTCAACACATTTAAGTCCGACTTGTACTCTCGTAACTTGGCAAGAAGTGTTGCTTTCTGTGCGGGAGGTAAAGTTCGCGCTTCTAGATCCATTCTCTTTATCTGGATCCAGTGGAATCAACATCCGTTCACCAATGCAATCAATTTCAAGTTTTTTAATTTCTTTGATTTTTTCCTCTTTGTTGTGTTTTTTCCTACCTTTCCCGTTTTTCCCTTCCTTCCGAATGACCTGATAATTATCTGGTCGGGACATAATTTTACTGACATCGTAATGAGCTGTGGCAATAGGAAACGACAGTACCAGGGACTCAGCCAGGTCCAATCCTTTTGTGAGATCATCAAACTTCTGCTTCTTTTCTACTGCAATTCAGAAGCATTTTTCTTCAATTAGGGTAATCAGGCAGAACATGTCCTCTAATACTCCTATTTCAATCGAATTTGAAATCGTGAAAGAAGGTTGCCGTCTCAAGGAGCATAGCTAATGGAGTCGGTACAAACTGTTCTGAATATCACGGAATGTTTTTCTTCTTCTTGTAGCAGTGGAGGCCATTCACGCACCTTCATTGGAACTGATTGAATTGCACTTTTTGTTGAGATTTGTGGAGAGCTCGCAATACTGCCTCTCGTAGCCATCAAAGATTTCACCCATGGCTGTAAAAGAGCAACACTCTAATATCTTACCCAGTCAGGTTGCCAAACAAAGCTAAAATGCTCGGTATGCAGCTTACTCTCTCGCTACCACGAGACTTAGAGGAATCCTTTGAAATTCACAAAGTCGAAAGCAAGGAGAGCAACAAGAGGGGTCCAGTATCATGCGCGGGGACATCCACCGCCTTCCGAGTCTTCCTCCGCGCAGACCCCACGTGCAAATTCGTGATTCCCGGCAAGATGTGGAACGAATCATAATAGCTTAGAATTCTGAGCTTTCGATCGTTCATACACAGCCATCAATTCGTTTCGTGTGTGAAGGGGAAACCACCCAGTTCATCAGAGCAAAAACGATGTCAAACTCAACACAAACCGTCGTGTTGCCCACATTCCTTGATCGGAGATTGGTGTGACTTTGCCGAAGTGGACAATCAATCCCTCAACAGTTTGCTTGTGAATGGGGATGCTCACATCTTTTATGACAATCCCCCCATTGGAACGCCCTAACGACTCCACGAAGAGAACAAACAGAATTAGGGTATCGTCCAAGAGAAGGGATCTCTTCCGTTCCCACAACAAACCGAAAGCGCCCAATCGTGGTCGACCTTTCTATGCAGGTCGCCAGGAAACGCCAAACCTTAGAAACCGGTAAAAAATCAAAGTTAAAAATAAATAAATATAAACAAAAATCCAGTCAAATTCCACCACACCAACTGTCGTAGAGCGGAAAAACTGCGATAATCCCAGATGGATACAGAAGTAGCTCATGATCAGAAACCAGTGTTGACCCAACCCAGCAAGTCCAGAGCTCCCAAAAACGGCAGCTCCCTCGCACCCACAAAAGTCACAAAGTTCGGAATCCAATGTCCGTTGTTTTGACTGAATCTCCGCACGACGGAAGCTGCGGAATGGAGGAGGGGCAAGTGTTTATTTGCGAATAAAAGCCAAGAACACTGCGTCAGCAGCAGCAGCAGCCTCCCATCACGATTCATGCGAAGGAATCGTTCTTGGAAAAAAAGCAAAGCAATACAATACAAACTTGACAATCTTCCTCATCCTCGCCCATTTCTTCTTCTGCGTCCTCATATTCTACATATTCTTCGTCTTCTTCTTCTTCTTCTTCTTCTTCTTCGTAGTGGTGGTGGTGGTCTCTTCTTCTTCCTCGTGAAGAGAATCAACTCATGAGGCTGCGAGGACCTCTCCTCGGTGCAAAGGCACGGCTTTTCCATGGTGATGATGTCGATGATGCCACAACTTTTGAACAAAACTGCATTCTTGTATCTTTTTTTTTCTTTATTTTTTCTGTTTTTGTCTCGGTTATTCGCATGATACGACGCAGTTTTGTTTCAGTGAGATTTCACTATTCCAATTTTTTTGTTCGAATTTTGTTTAACGTGACATGGTTTTTTATTTTTTTATTGGGTTTTGTGTAACGAGACGGAGATTCATGACAAAGAGTTTGGCATTTTTGTAATAAGGGATGTGATTTTTCAATCTAGGAAAAAATTGCAATGTTTTTGAAAAAACGTTGGTTAAAAGAAATTGAATTTTGAAATGGTGCCAAGGTTGCAATAAAGTAATAAAATAATGAATGCACATATAAATTTAGCCAAAACATAATGGTAATGCATCAATTTCCTATTTTATTTTCCAAATTCTACATGTCTTAAGGACTGATGCTATTGTTACAAATGAAGGAGCCAATGCAATATAATTAATTAAATTCAATTATGGAGAATATCAATAATGAGATGAAAATAAGGATTGTTGAGAAATAATAAAAAATAAAAACCATTTTCTATATAAAGTTGATAGGAATAATTTTGGGGATGCAAATTTCTGTAGTGGTAACTAATACAGTGAACTTTTGGGTTTTCAAGATGGCTCTCTCATGCCAAATAAGTCTTCAAATTAAGGACTTAAATTGTCCAAAATACATTAGAAATATGTCTCTTTAACATCAACACACCAATATATAGATAAAAAATAACAATTTGTATCACTATCATTAGGAAGTGGCTTTTCAAATTCTAGCTACATAGCATCATCTATACAATAATAAAAAGTCATAAAATTATCTCTTCTACTCAAAATGCTAAAATTGTTTTACAAATTCATGATTTTTTTCTAATATTAACAAAATGAAAACTCAACTCAATATTACATTAGTGACTCCATGTACTGTACCAAACATTTAATGTTTGCACATAAATAAATAAATAAATAAATAAATAATATGTATATATATAATTATTTAAAGGTACAGTAACAAAATTTTATTAGTACACCATTTATTTCTATAACAATTATTTACTAAAAGTGTTTTAATTTAATTATTTAACTTATTCTTAAACATAGTTCTGAATCAACAAATTTGGGTACTGTTTGTTAATAACCAACGTATTCACGAATTAATAATAATTCAGATATGGTTTTGATTTTAAATCCAAGAATTATTGTCAGAGAAAATAGTGTATTACTTTAAATAAATAAAGTCGTATGTAATGCTACAGTAGTTCTTAAGCCAAAAACTTGATTGAAGGACTAGTTTAACATATTACTACGATCATATGGAGACTATCTTTTCTTTTCGTATTCTAAATCGACATTCATTAAATAATACCTGGGAATGTGAGTTCCCAGAAGGTTTCATTATTGCAACATCTTTTTCGTATTGATTTCTTCAAAATGCAATCCTTGCAACATTTTGTGAAAAATGATTTCTATTCTAGTCCTGTTTTCTTCTTGAAAGTTAAATCAAAATAAGTTACGATTTAAAAAAAGAAAAAGAAAAAGAAAAACCTTTCTGCATGTTTGCATCAGCAAATACGCCCCCATGCTAATTTCTACCAGCCAAGGTAGAAAATGTCATAGTTGGGATTACCTCTGCCAACGTTGTTGGTGCAAATAAACATACATTCGTAGAGTCCCTTACCATCTCCAGAAGAAGCTTCAGTTTTTGAACCAAGGTTTTGTGAGAGCCATGTTTCATAACTTCTAACTGACAGCTCTATTCCCCCAGATATCTAACACAATCGAGGTGGGTCATCGCCTCCACTGCTAAAACAAAAAAAAACAAAAAAAACAAAACAAAATTTAAAAAAGTAGAAAAATGGAAATGAAAAGAAAGAAACCCTACTCACGATGACTGAGAAAAATGCAACCGAAAGCGCAGGAGTTATGTCCAAAACCAGCTTTTAGTGTCAGGGAAGCAAAAGCCTCTGCCAAGTGCTAGTCTCTCTTACTCAACAGGGTTTGATTCTCCTTCAACCTCTCTTCCTTGGGAAGTGTTTCATCGATGGCACTGGTTGTGACATGGTGGCAACCATCTGCAGAAGAAGAAGAAGAAGAAGAAGAACAGTGAGGGATATGTGTTGCTGGTTGATTCACCAGCTGGGGTTGACTTGCATCAGCCCACAACGACGACGGTGTTAATGCGCAGGTCGATAATCCATCTGCACGACGGTGGGTTGATCGTTTTCCACTAGTGTCCTGATCGTCCACTCTGACGACAAGCTCATTCCATGGCTGGGTTGATGAGACATTCACCAACCTCGACTGGGTGCTCCAGAGTGCAGGAATTAGCACAAAGCAGGCAGGAATCTCGAGCTGCTTCTTACGCTCTACGCTCTATGCAGATAAAAACCATGCCCTCATTAACCTGCCAAAGTAGCATCTATACCTCGCTTGATGGTGGTAAAAGCTCGAAAAGGGTTACGGCTATAAAAGCAGGACTGGGTTTTAGTCAGTGATGATTCAGATTCTCGAACTGGAACGCTGAACTACAAACTTACCCCAACATTACAGCATATTGTTATTGAAAAGAGGCTGACATGCACCAGCCTGTAAAATACATTCGACGCCTCGAGAACAGTCTTTTCAAAGCAAGAAAAAACAGAATGCTATAACATAGTCGATCATCAACACTTGTTGGATTCTGCTCACTTTTTGTGAGACAGAAACTCGTGTAGAATGATCTGCGTGCAAGACTTAATATACACTACAATACACTGAGCCACAGTAAATCTCGATGATGCTGGCACCAGGGTTCATGAAGTGATCAAGCCTTTACACTCCGAGTACTTCGTGGTTGGTCCTCAGCCGTGTGTTCAATAAGGCGGCATCCACAATACCAGGACGTTCTCAAATCTACACAGGTCAGCGCTCTTGCGGCAATTGCTTCCACACATAGGTCGATCGAAACCTTTGATTTCTCCTGTAATTGCTAGCTCAGCCACAAGATAGCTTCATCGGGACGCCCGAGATGCTCAAGTCAGTGAGGGTGACGTGCAACGTCATCACTCATCCATAGACTCTTCCATCGTCCTGCAAAAACACAATGAGCGAGACAATTTATGCCAACAGCTTGTGCGTCAAAATGTAAGTGCTCTTCAATCAAAACTGCAAACGCTTACTTAGACATAGGTAAGCATCGTAGCCTGATGAATGAAACATCGACATTTCGAATGTTTTAGATAACAGAAGAGCATGTAGTGAAATAAGAAGGATGTCAAGCTCACCATAGCTGGAGATCAGAGGACCTCTGAATCTGGATCTGCTCGTCCTGAGAATCAAGAAAGTTTACATAGTGGTGATGGTGAGTGTCGTCCAGAGCAAAGAAAAGGAACGTGTCGTTGATGTCCACAGAGACAGAATGGCCCGAATTGGAGGAGCTGGGCAACACCTTGTCAATGACGGCGGAGGCGTGCTCGCCGTCCTTCAACGTCACAATGCACACCTGGTCGCTGCGCGTGAGCGGAATGTAGAAGGTATCTCCCGCTTCCAAGACCTTGGTGGGATAATCCACGCATCTAACCGTGGCTTGCATCCCCGAGTAGTTGAAAAATCCCAGTTTGGGACCTGATTGCTGAGCGTTGGCCGTGAAAGACGCCAACATTGCCAGCAACAGCACTGCTCGAAAACTATGAACGACTCTTGCCATGTCGATGATCGAAGGCATAGTAGAAAGAAAAAAAATCAAATGCTGAGAAGCACTGTCCGATTTAGCTCCCTAATGCTACAATAATCAATATAGAGAAAAAGCTATCTACCCGTCCTTTTACTCTTCAGAAATGCCTATTCTGCTCGAAGAACCATGTCTGTTCACGTTTTCAGGCTGGAGGGGCAAGAAAATGAAAGGAACGATAGCGTGGAAGTAAACAATGCCATGTTTACTGCAGGTTCTGGAAGACTCGTCTAACAAGGAACATGGCGAGAGTGCACGTATTGCGAGGATCACTCGAGGCTAAGCACTGCGGCCTGTGTAAGCACAAACTACCTACAGTCGTCACGCTCAACACCTGCCACTCGGAGCCGAAGCTCAACCTTCTTGGTTTCTTGTGAGGTAGCTATGGCAACAAAAAAATTACAAAAAATGCTTGACTCTCTGCTCCACAACCGGTCTTCCCTGAAAGCTCAGAATCGATCGACAAACAATCCACAAGATCAACTACGAAGCAGCAACCTTGCACGCACCCTAATCCGAGAGACCCAAAGCCTAACCTAAAAACCCAGCGCCACCGCCTTGGCAATTAATCTCAAAACCTCCCACCAATGGACCTTCAACACACACAGAAACCTCTCAGCACAAGCCACGATCTTCACTGTCACTGACACCACAGCAGGCAGCGCGAAAAGGAGGAAAAATTAAAATTAAAATTAAAAAACAAAAGCTCGAGGGGATGTAATTTCACCCAGTCTATAACTCTACCCGCCGCATAGAGTGAACGGCACATGCGATGTAGACTATTTTTAGGAAGAAATTATATTGAGAAAAAGGACTCCGTCCCAGGACAAACTTATGATTTCAGCAGCCAATGTGCCGGAATACCCGCCGACAGAAGCAAAATACTACCCGCTATGGCGTGGGAGCCCTGGCTAATGACGGCGTCCGCAACGCTTCCTTGAAATCTCTGCTGTTCCCACCTCCTCCGCAAAATATAACGAATCTCGCTCCCTCCCTAGCTCCACACAACACCTCTTCTTAATTATTCCTTCTTCTTTTCTCACTCTCCTAAAAAGCCCTCAAGCCACATCGTCTGCATGTCACAGATGCTTGGCTTCATCAGCCTCATTCATGCTCTACCTCACCACCCACCCACCCACCCACCCCCCCCACACACACTGCATCATCCCCCACTCTCCTAGTCCTCCTCCTTCTTTCTTTTACATTATCCATGTCAGAATGTGTATGGTTCCACATTCACAGGGATGACCCGAGCATGATGATGCAGGAGGAGGAGGAACAGCATTGGAAAGAGAGAGTAATCTGGACACAAAAGTCTCTTCTCTTCTTCATCATCAGACACTCTCTCAGATTAGCATCACCCTCCCCACCCCCCCTCCCTCTCAATTGGCCACACTTTTCTGCTAAATTTGGAACTATGCTTTTGCAATTTTGGGTGAATGAAGGAAAAACATGCCTTGGTTGGGTTTGGATAAGCTCCCCCCCTCTACGGTCAAGTCAAGGGCCCATCTTCACCCAAAAAGGACTTCCTTCCTTTCCACCCTTCCTCATGGTCCTCTAACAAGCATGCTTGCTTTGACCCATTTGGGTCATCACACTATAATATGGCTATATTTGAAAGAGGGAGTGGAAAAAGGGGCACCACTCCCACTCCCACTCACTCACTCACTTGTGTGTGTGGGAGAGTGTGTGCCATGAGTGAGAAAGAGTGGGGTGTTAAGAGGCCCTTGAGAGAGTCAGCACCAACCCCATGGTGTGAGATACACCCTCCCTCATGTGTGGGTTTCTTGTTCTGTTTGTTATTTTATTTTATTTTATTTTGTGTTATTTTATGTATATTTATTTAATTTAATTTTATTGTTGTTGTTGGCTGCAGGCACATCTCTTGCCCACAAATCCACCTACTTCTTAAAAGACCTGGCAAGTTCAACTTTTGGATGCTAAACTCAGGATGCCCATCTTGATTATTCTCATGTGTGACGCTGCAATCATAAGAATGTTATTGTACTTATTTGTGTTGTATATATTTGTTTATGTATGTATGTATGTATGTATGTATATATGTGTAGGAGTTGATACATCTATTTTGATTCCCACATGGTTTGTGGACTTACCTAACATGATCATCTTGTTATAATGCTCTTTAACATTTTCAATCCAGGTTGTTACTTGGATTTGCTATCCTCAAATCCAACTATTTTATTGGTGTATTTTATTGATGCTTTTATTATTATTATTATTATTATTATTATTAATGTATACATTTTGATAATAATAGCAGTCAAACATATAGAAAAATAATTCTATAAATTTCTTTTAAAGAAATTTATATGACAAGGTTACATCAATGATACAAATTTTACTTCATATGCATAATTGGATAAATACATATGATGATTTTAAACATGGTTTATTTTCTCTTTCATATATATATATATATATATATATAAGATTAGATAAGGTAACACCATCAGTAAGTTGAACATGATCTTAAACATTAAATTTAAATTATCAATTAATGCTAAAACAATATTGGGTATGTTTAATACTTTGTATTTTTTTGGATAATATAATTTTTGCTATTCTTATCTTTTAGAAACTTAAAACTTTTAGTATGTAATTAAAAATTAAAGTAATATATATATATATATATATATATATATATATCTTTTTAACATGCATCTACATATTATATGAAAAATAATAAATAGTAATAAAATAAGTAGATTTTATGACATGAGTGGTTAAAATTATACAAGATTAAGACAATATAGCTAAGTTTAATTGGAACTTATTTTACCAATTGTTGCAATCACAGTAGTAGTAGACAAACAAATGTTTACTAATTAAAACATGAAATAAATATATTTCAACTCTTTTAAATTTCTTTAAATTACTAACGTAATTAATAGCTTTATAAACCACACTTTTAATCCATGAAATAATCATTCTATCCACATTCACGATAAGAAAACTACTAGCTTCTAAAATATTTCTTTTTACTTTAGTTTGACTCGTTGATTTATATTAAAAATATTATCATTATAGATTTTTCATTGAAAATTTTATAAATATAAAATACATGTTGATTTCACATATTACAATTAATAAGAAACAGACACAACATGGTTCATTTAACTTGGGTATTCAAAAATCACCATCTTAGATTTGAATCAATTATTTTTCACTTGAATATAAAAACTAGCCCCAATTTATTTAAAAATTTATATATTACCACTATTGTTACAAATATAAATATATATATATATATATATATATATATATGCTGGATTTTATAAAACTTGTCATTTATATGGAATATTTTCTTTTGTTTATGTATTATAGGTTTTGAAAAGTAAAAAGGTTTATTTTAAATATTTAAATCACTTTAATGCTATGTCTAAAAATATCCAATCCTATCATAATTTTTTGAAGACAATATAGCTAAAGCAATACATCTTCAAATATTGATTTTCTCATACTTTTTCTATATATAAATTTATCAATTCAAATAACATAAACATAATTTTATTACTGAGTGAGTTGTATTTTTGTAGATTGTCATGATTTTTTTGCCTAGAGAATTGTTTTTTTACTAATCAATATTATTTCAAACTCTTAAAATTATTTAGATTTCTTTGTACAACTTGTATGAAGAAATTGTATTTATAAAATATTTGTAGATAATAATATTGCATTGAAATATAATTAATAGAGGACAAACAATCATATAAGTATTTTGACATTAACAATACATCTTATTATGAAGTAGATTCTTTTTAGAAATGAGTGCAACTTCTCCTTTGTTGTAGAAGCAAACAATTTTTTTAATACGTATATATTTTGTTACAAATAGAATATCCAAAAAAATTCATACATGTAAGAATATATTCAATGTTATAAGTAGAGGTATACTTGGCTAAAAATCTTACTAATAAGACAAATTCATTAATTATTAGTATTTATATGATAATAGCTCAAATGAAATAAATGCACAACTATCAATTCAAAAAAATAGCAATTTTATACATTATTTAAATAAATCAATATTAGTTTTTCTAAACCTTTGTGTATTCTATGCAAAACATATGATTTAAGTGTAATTATTCAATAGAATAATAGTAATTATTATTATTGTTATCGAGATTTTATTTACCCATTTCTTTTTAATTACACAATAATCCTTGCAAGAGCCATAGAATAATCAATATATATATATATATATATATATATAGTAGTATTACTATAAAGTTTTGATGTTCATGACATATATGACAATTTCTTTGGTAATATATGATGAAACTTTTCAACTGATAAGTCTCTATACAACCAAAACATTAAGATTTAGAAAACTCCAAAACAAATTGGTAGTACAAGTATTTTACTAGTGAAAAAATATTAAAAATTCAACAAAAGAAATTCTAATACTTTAATGTGCTTTAATTTGTAGATAACAGTAAATGACTGTAGATTTTTTTAATATAAAATTTGAGTGTTAAAGAAATTTATAATATTTTAAAATACAGTCTTGATAAATACCATTTCTTACAATACTTCAATTTTAACATGATGATTTTATATTTAATGTTAATATATAAATACTATTGATGTACATCTTTTAAGAATATACACATAATATTGGTCACAATATATATGTTTTCAAACAAAAAATGCTTAAAATTACCATCTAAAGAGATAATCATAGAATATATATTTACATATATATAGAGAGAGAATTTTACATCTTCTTATTAATAAGAAAAATCTACTAAATATTTTGATTATCTTAAATCTGTCTTACAAATTTTTTAAATAAAAGATTATTAATAAAAATATTCTAAATTCTAAATGTAAAACTTATAATTAATTAGATAATTCTTATCTCATCTAAAATATTAGTTGACTAAATGTTATAAAAATAAAATATAACATATTATAATATTTTATAATTTGAAATTAATTAAGATAAATATAATATAATTTAAAGAAATTATATATAATTAAAATTTAAATCTAATATATATATATATTATCGATATATATAAAGAAAATCAAACACAATATTTGATTCTATTGACATGATTAGAAAAAATATAGATGGCTATTGGTTTAAAATATAAAATTATCTACATCTTGGAAACAATTCCTTGCACTTATAGTTGCACTTCTAATTTTATCATCATTCTTTTTTTAATCTCTTTCTTAAAATCTCCTTAGAAAAAATTGTGTACTTCATAGCCAAAGGATTAGCCTTAGTTGGTAGATTAAGTCAAAATAACTTACAATTCTTATTGTTATTTTTTGTAGCAAATACTGTAGTCTTAAAAAATTATATCTTCAAAAGATATCATTTTTTGAAATGTATTTTGAACTTTACTCTTCTTTCTTTTTTTTAATCTATTATTTATGCATTATTACATTCTTCTACAAAAACAAATTGTACAACATTAAGTTATATTAGCAAAAATACTATTTTTTTTACTATAAATTGCAATAGTCATATGTTCAATATATACTTGATATTGATAATTATTTTTATATACAAAAAATATTGTGTATATCTCTCAAATATGCTAAAATATTAAGAACACACTTATATTCTTCATAATAGCAAATCTATCCTTAAATGTTATAAGCTATCACCACTTTTTTTTTTGTTCTTTTTTATAGTGCATTTGATATCCTAACCGTGTGCCATATAAATTTTGGTACAACCTATTTTGGCACTTTTTGGCATATTTCGCCTCTTTTTCTTCTATTGATGTCTATGTACTACACAAATTTTTTCACACTATTTTTTGGCTTTAATATAATTCTAGGGGGGGGGGGGGAAGTTCATTATTGAAACTAATTTTGGTTGTGTTTCAATTAAAATGAATGTGATACTTCCAATTTGTAATCCTAGATTAGCTCCTATTGTACAAAGATAGTTAAGAAGTCACAAGATGGTTAAGACAATTGATGAGTGCAATGTCTATGAGTGTGTCTTTTATCAAAGGCATTGTCTTACAAGTTTATCAAATATAGTAGTACCTCATAATCATAAATTTTTGCAATACTACTTGGTAGCTTCAATTTATAGAAATTGTAGTTGTATAATTCATGTATCAATAACAACATAGAGCATATGTTAAGATGTCTAGTGATAGCAACACCAATTGTTCTTCTATAAATACAAGCGCTTTGCCTCCAATTGCTTTTGTCAATTCAAAGCAATACTTCCAAGGAATTTTAGCATTGGAACAATTCCATGTGCAACCATCCTTTAAAGAAGGTAATGTAGGATCTATAATGGGCAGTCAAACTATTGTTGGTTGTATGGGATCAATGTAGGCCATGATATTCAACCTTTAATATATCCAAGTTTGTTGTAGTAAATTAATGAAGGATGTTTACGATGGAGTTAAAATCATGGATCCTTATTACTAGTAATTACTTTTGAGAGACTCTCAAGATACATAAGTCATCTTGCTACAACCTACCTTCAATCATTTATTTCAATTTTATGGAAATTTTGCATGGCATGCAAACATTGACAAAAGAAAAGGAGACAAAATGTGCCAAATTGGGCCATGCTGAAATTTGCACATGTAATTTGGACCCCAAATGCACCTAAAAGAAAAAGGAATAGTGGTGATACTTTATCACATTCTAGGATAAATCTGCTATTATTATGAAAATGAGGGGTTGATTTGCTATTATTAAGAAAACAAGGATATTATTAATATTTCAACTAATAAGAAGGATATATATGATATTTTCCCTTCTCTTTTAATCTAAGAACATCTTGAAGTCATTTTAGGAAAATAATTGCACTTTTTTTTTGAAGTTTCCAATACTCAACACTTTATGCAAATTGAATAGTTTTTTTTTCTTTTTTCTTTTTTTTTTTAAAAACCTTCTGATTCTTTTGACAGAAGGTGTTGTAAAAATGAATCAACCTTTGACCCTAAGAAGTCACAGGAAAAAAGTTATCTTTCTGGTCCTGAGTGAACGTGGATCGAAGTTTCGATTATGAAGACAAATTTCAAAAATCGCATTACTGATTTTTGCTGTTGAATTTATGTATCAAAATTGCTTTTAGCATGCCTTGCTATACGTATCAATATAGTACTAATAATGCACTAAAACACGGCTAAAAGGCAATTGATATGCTGATCCACGTTCAAAAATATGACAAGTCTTATCGATTCAGCTTTCCAAAAATGTTCAACAATTACCTGCTTCATCTTCCTAAGAAAGAGGAAGGAAAAAAAAATTATTAACAAAATAGATACAAAACAAGATACTATATTAGCACTTTCTCCGAAAATTCTTGAACTGCCACTTCAATAATAGAACCATACGAAGATGAAAGAACCACGTTGACGTGCAATATGATCCATTATAAACTCATCCCCTGATCAGGAATACCAAGAATAGAAAGACCTCATGTAGGGTTTTTGGTCATCGCATCTGGGTTTGACATTTCATGACTACATTTTACAAGTGAATCCAAAACAAGACCAGCGGTTCAACTTTCCACATTGACTAAGGGATCAGCAGCCTTTTTTGCAGGAAGTTTATGCAAAAATATCTTTACTCAAAAGGGCAACGACGTTGACTTTACACTCCATCTTAAAAGTATCCGTCTCAAGCTCGCATTGGGCTAATATCCATCGGATAACTACCCAGTACCCTCAAGAAGGTAGCAAACTCCTGCACATACAGAAAATGATACATTTGCCTCAATGCACAAATAAGACTTTAGATCTGATTTTAACATCGAAAGCCCCGCAACAACTAACGACTATGGAACAATTGTCTCCAGCAATAGGTAAATGACAAACACGAAATCCATTTGAGTCATCTTTGTTCAGGGACACCTGTAAGTGCCCAAGAGCATTCTGCGCCCGCAAATCAGCCATAGAAGCTTCAAAGTCCACATAGAATAGATAATCAAAATATCTGCACATCAACATCAATGTCCAATGTAGAGTACAAGTCAAAACCAGAAAGTGGTTTCGACTTCGAGCCAAAAGGAAAAAAGAAAAAAGAAAAAAAGCAACTGATAAATAATAAAATGATCGATACTTCTCACGACTGTGAAAAAAAGAAGCGAACAGTTGAGAGGCTAAGAACACACTTGGCACTTCCATTGTTGCTATCATCCACCACGCGTAACGGCCTCTTTCTTTGAGGACGACTTTCAATCTGTGAATTCAATGCAAAATATACAATTGTTTAGCACCTTGATCTACGTACACAGTAATGCAACCATTGTAAAACTTTAGAAATTAAATGATACCTTGGTAAGATTGATTTCCCGTAGGGCAAAGACTGCGAGTGCCTTGAACAGAACACCTGGTCCTTCCTCTAATGTGAACACGATACTGGTCTGCATCAAGACAAGTCACCGACGCAAAGAGAAAGGAATAAATACACACAGAAAGAGTGTTAAAATTCAAAACTTTTGGTTGTCTCTATATATAGATTAAAGATTGCAAGTATGCAAAATCCTTCCATGTAACCAAATGTAGATCCAGTGACAAACATGGATCACTTGGCTCATGAAAAGCTGTAAAACATACATCAATGCGATTCCGACCAGTTCTAATGCAATGGTAAAAACTCACGTTGGTAAACCTACCAATCAATCGATGCGAAAATATGGAGAGAAAGAAGGAAAAATTCACCTTGAATGGTCTGTCAGTTCTTGGAATGATAGGTTCTCGAGCGAGCATTAGAAACCGAGTGACGTTGTCTAGATCATCCTACAGTGTCAAACAAAAGTAATTTCATTCAGAGCAATGCTTATACCTAAAAACCATTAGATACACAGGATCACATAAGAAACATGATTTTCACAAGAATAACAATCGCTGGATAATAGACAGATAAGACTTTACAACAATACAAATTGACGCGTGTATTGTTTGTCCTCGGGCACTGAACTACTTCAACAGGAGCTCCCCGTGAGTTAAATGAACCAATAATATGGGCCCCTGATCTCAAACCGCTCATGATATTCATTGAAGCCATTCAACTCGATGAATCATTCTTCCAAGTTAAATAGCTTTTCTTGATTGTGTCAATATATGTGCGAAAACTTGCCAATAAAAACAATGTTGGTTTTCATAGCTCTTAAGCATCCTTGTCAAGAACAAACTTCAAACTTTATTAAGACAGATTCATACCTGTAAGCCATCCACTAGGATTTCCAGCCCATATATTTCTGCAGCCCGTGCACTTGCAACAGCTCCTGTGTCCTTCAATTTATGAGCGGCAATGAACTGCAGACGAGGGTTCACACAAGAAAATCACAATACTCCATTAGAAGCACTACGCAAGATTGTAAGCACTATTTATTGATGAATATCAGAAAACACAACTGCAAACAAAATTTGGAAGAGCATAAACTTGCAGCATCAAAATAACCACTACATTCAATGCAACTTATCCCATGGAACTTTCACTCCAACGAAATTTACGAAAACACAATGCTTACACAAAAAAATGAAGCATCTCCCTCCAAAACTTCAATATCTTAATCTAATGAGATAGGTAATAGCTTATCAAGTGGTTTCATCAGCACAAAAAACATCAAATCATCAAACTTCAAATACCAAATAGAGTGCAGCTTTCGATTACCTGTGCAGCTCCGGCAGTATCATCTACAGCTTCTCGAGCCACACCTAACTTCGTCAATCCTTGCTCACACTGAGCTAGAGCCTAAGATTCGTAAAAAAAGTCTAAATCATGAGAACAAGAGATCCAACATTTGTGCAGACAAGACATCCATTACGTTCCAAAACAAGAATTAGAGAACTAATGAGAGACATTCCAAAGAAGTGAGCAATGACTCTCTGCATCACTTGAATTACATCCTTGATTTGAAGCCCAGCAATCAACATCAAGCCACAATCCCTCGTATTACTAGCAATTAGCAGTAGAACTAACCGAGAAATAGTGTTTCAAGTCATCAGCTCCAAAGAATCCACACCACTGATAATCTTACAAAACGATTTTAAGATAATTAAAACATATCAGTGCGAGAAAAACATCCTCCCGGTGCGAGGAGTATCATGTACCTGTGGATGACTGACAACTCGTAATAATTCCTCCTTTTTCACACCAGGGAGTGCTAAGAGGCAATGATGAATTGCAAGTTGAACTTCACCAACTATATGAAGCCGATGACGCAGAAGTAAATCATAATTGCGATGAATGCTTCCACCAAGAGAATTCTCTATCGGCAACACTGCTCTGTCAACCAGCCAAAGCTCTACTGCCTGGCTTGGAAAAGTAAACGTATTAATGACCAAGAAGTTCAGAAAAACATGCTCTCTTCTAACAGCCAAACTTTCCTATTTCAATATTTAGGTCACAAGCGCAAGAGTATTACTATCCGAAGCACCAACAAGATAACAGCAAAGCGTTTCTCTTGAAGCTTCTGTAGAAGATAAGAGGAGTCTTCGTCACATGCAACATACCAGAGAAATAGGACCATAGCAAATTCCTTAGAGCAGTCAACAACGACAAGATGAGAATCAACCAAGTTATGAAATCGTATTCCCAACGTTGAAAAACATGCACTACACCTGAAAAGCAGCTTCAAACTGTTCACAAGGAACAGCCTCACACCTAGGATATGCTTTAGCAGCAGCTGCTTCACTGTAAGCTCCAGGAACACCCTTAAAAAGGAAATGCAGCGGGTTAATGAACCATTTCATGGTCCGCACTATCGATCCATAGTGGAGCTGGGGCCAAATATAAAAGGAACTCGTAAATTAGGTCCAGACGAAACGAAAAAACTCCTATTAAATGACTCTAAAAAGATACCTGATAAGCTACACGTAAATCAGATCCATGCCTGGGTGGTAAGGCCAAATCGGTGATGGACAAAGGCTCTGGTCAACCAACCGCGAGAACACTACGTTAGACGATCACGAACTGATACGCTTCTGATACAATACCTCCTTTTTAAATAATGCCACCACCTCTTGTTTTATTAACCTTAACAATATTACAAAACAACAAGGTTGGCAACGTACAGCGCCTGCGCTAACCCTACAAACTATGTCATTCAAAGATAAATTCTGGACACGACAAGCCAAAATGGCGATAATTCCGGACAGGACGAATATACAAGAATTGAATTCGACAGTATTTCGATCAGGAAGCAGTCTTGTCTAATCACGTTTAACATAGACTAAACGAAAGAAAGCCAGAAAACCAAGAGATGTACTACATACCAACGAACCATCAGCCTAATTCTTTTCGGATTGAAAGCTAGGAATTGAAATTCCCGAGAAATCCCGAATCGTTGAGCCCGTAATATCTTGAGAGCTCACAACGCATGTGTACGAAGAATTGAATTACGTGACAAGGAATGGTGACCGATGACTTTTCGGTACACATGCACCATACTACTCATTCCACTATCGTTTCGTTAAATTCTGCTGAAATACAATCTTTGATTTGCACTTACTAGGTAGTGTTAGGCTGACTAGCTCGGTCGTAGAAACCACCGGCGCGTTAGTGCCCCAGATTTGCTCGGGGTTCCCTTCCTCAATCTGAGTAGAGGAGGCATCCTGGGCAGCGAGAACAGGCCTATACCCTAAGTAGCCACCACTACCCTTGGATGAAGAACTGCGACTCATAGAACCCACTAGTGCACAGCATTCTCGCCACCTGCAACCATCTCCAAACGCTCCATGCCTTCTCGGCTGCTGGAATAGAATTCTCGAGGTGTAAGGTGCACTGGTCGAGATTTCTATAGACGCGAATCCAGTGAGACATGGCTCCAGAGCTCTCACTGTACTTCCTGGGCAGAGAGTCATCTTGAAGCTATGCACGATCCTCGAGCTTCGCCGCTATCATTCCTATTTCCAATCCCGCGCTCTAACAAACCCTAAACCAGCAGTTGCAGCACGAGCCGGGGGGGCCCTGGGCTCATACCGCAATCATAAAGAGCCCGGGCCGAGCTGGTTGTCGAAAAGAGTTCAAGTCGCCGCCGCCTTCGCACTTTACACTCGGGCTCAAGGTTTCTTGTGTTTTAAAACGGAAAGGATTTCTACGGATCGTAAAAGGCTTCTCCTGGTAGTGGGGCACAGTATTTTCTAGAAGTTCAGAGCCAATCATTGAGGATGTATTTACTGCGTCCTAATTGTGTCTCATGATAGTGCGGTCGTGCGGATTCGATCATACCACCTCTTCTGAAGTATTCATTCAATCTCACTACTACGGAGCCGAAAAAATGTTGAGATTCTCAACTCGGAGTTAAAGCAATTTTAAATTACAAGCGCAGGCCTTAGCCAGGGTGTGGGAGACAAACCACGGGGCCGCCCTGCGAAGTGGGGCGGTACAATGTCAGGGACAAGCCTAAGTAGATTGCTTGGCTGGAGATTACTAACCCCTGTGCCTATTACCTACTTGTGACAACCTTGGGAGGTGGTTTAGTCTATGTATCAACTAAGTGTAAGGAGGTTGAGTTAGGATTTTTGTATCACCATGCACTCCTTGAGAAGCACGGCATAGCCATTATCTTTTTTAAACTTGGTAGTTTTTATATTGGGTATTGTCTCCCAAGGAAGAAAAAACATTTACCATCCAACATCCATCTTTGATAGTCATGTTCACTTAGGTGTTGAATGGTGGCAACATAGATTTTCAATGCAACAAGTGAGTCTTAGAAGTCCATTGTCTTTCTTCTTACCTCTACAACCCGCAAAAATTCTTCTTATGAATAAGGTATTTGTGTTGAACTTATATTGCATCTTTGATTTTGTTATTTCTATAAATCAAGTGATTTATGGCAAGTATATTGGAAAGTGGGGCTCAATAATTGGTCTTAATGTTGTGGCTTCTATTAATGCATTAATCTTGTGTTGGATGTTGTCACATAGGAATTGTGCTAAGCGTGGACTAGATTGATTGCTGGAAAGAATAGGAAGTTGAGATAGATGAATGCCAACTTTGGCATATATGTAGTAAAGTCTTTTGTTAGAAGCATCAACCAACTATGGAAGGTGTCTATATAGATTCTTATCAATTTATAATGTGATAAGTAGAGGATTAAACTATTCTTGTATAGAGAGGTCTTTTGGTAGTCTTACAATTATTTCATCATTGGTGGACTCTTTTTATTATAAGGTCATAGAAGACATCTTAAAACATTTGATTAATTTTTTGGTTAATATAAGTTTTTAAAGATATCAACATTATATTGACTTCTATTTCTTTTCTAATAAGAGCTTAGTATATTTAAAATAGAAGCACCAATACAAGATGTCATGTCAAAAAAGTGAAAGGAGACAAAAACTTCTATCGGAGTATGGTGCCTTGCATAATACTAAAGATATTATATTGTATCCATAGTTGTTTGAATATATTAGTCATATCAAGTATTCTAGTCTATGATTGTTTATACTTGGATATGAAATTCCAATATTCTATACCAACATATATGGTAGTTTTCAATGCATAGAAGAATGCGCCACTGAGGTTAAAGGTGGCATGGTTTAGTTTGTGGCCATATTTTTATACCTAGAGATTTCATAGTAAGGTAGTCTTGAGAATTTCTCAGGTTGTATTATTATTCACAGTGCATTTCTTCCAAGAGTCTTAAAATCAATTTAGGTCTTTATTAATGATATACAAGTTCTTGAAAAGACCTTGTTGAGATGATGTAGAGAGCTATAAATCCAGCCTCATATTATAAGTTGCAAAAGTATTGTCAAGTAGGAGCCACTACTAGGCATGTTATAAGGACATATTTAATAGATTCAATTTTTGTAGTATAATAGATGTAACAATAATCCTCCTAGTTGACTTGTTGTCTTTATGTACATATGAGTAAGTCCGTCAACTAAGATAAGTCAATGCATAGATGTAAGTTTTTTAAAAATCCATGGATACCAAATTTTGAAAAGAATATATGACAATGTTTAGTATTATAGCTTCTTAATTTCAAATAAATCATTGCTTTCATTTCTCTAGATTGTTTGATCAAACATATTTGATTATTTATTTTTATTGAATAAGAATAGAAGTTACGTCTTTTAACAATGTTAGCATGTCTCTATTTTCAATCTTTAGGATACCACTAAAAGTATATGATCAATATTATGCTAAAAAGCCAAAGTCAATGTTGTTGGTTTAGTAGTGAAGTATGGTTGACAACTAAGATAATGTCTTTCATGGAAGAAATGAAGAATACATGGACCTATTCAAGATCACATAGTAATATTTGTGTAGAACTTTTTGAAGAATCCTTGAATTTATTTGTATAAAGTATATGGTATTGATAAACTTGCTATTATTATCTATACTAATGATATACATGATAGACAATGTAAATAGGTCCTGTGGTTTCTAGCATAATCTATCACATGGTTCTAAAGAAAAGATACTAATTAATATCTATGAGACATGACTAAATACCTCTATGCATTGAATTAGACTAGTTCTAGATTTGGTTTGTTATCATATGTAATCTTTGTATAGCTAATCTTAGTTGTAGAAATGCCATGGTCCTTGATTTAAAATAAGCCATTTTTTTTCTTCAAGTATTGTATTTTGATTTGGATTACATATCACATTCTTGGTCCATTTGATTAGTGATTAGTGAATTATCAAATAATACTTATCTTAAGTTATTTTGTGGTACTTGAATGATATTTGTTACATACTACTCTTGGTTTGGATCCATGTATTGAAGATAGTCTTCTACAGTAATGAATATTTGTTGATAGGTTAATAAGCTCATATGATCTAGTGTATCTATATTCTATTGTACTACACCAATCATCCTTATATGAATAAGGTTGTATTAAATGAAGATTTTTCAAGGTTTGTATTTTGGTTGTAGAGTCCATATTACAATTTTTAAAAGTAGTGCTATTATTTACATGGTTGAATCTAAAATGTTCAATCCATTGTGCAAAATTAATTGTATTGGAATAGCTTAGGGCATTTTGGCTTAGGTTTAGTATCTATTCTGTGCTTCTTAAATGTAGTTTTGAACAATAACTTACTTTTGTTTGAAGGTGGATTCATATATATATATATATATATATATATATCTTTATATATATATATCTTTATATATATATATATTTATATGCATAGGAGCATATGTATCAGATAGCAGCTAGCAATACTTGATTGATGAATAGGATTTAATTTGCCAATGATATGAAGTGCATTTTTTATGTAGTAAGAGCTTTAGTTAGCATTAGAAGGATTTTGTTGCCAAATTCTTTTAAGGTGATTTAGAAGCCAATTGAAAAGCAAAGATATGTGGATGTATGACTTTCTTTAAGCCAATTAATACCAAGATCTTGTCTCCATATCCAAAATCTTAGCATTGATATGATTCAAATAGCCACAACTATTAGTTCTTAATTTAGTTGGTAGAATATAAAGATCTCTTTGTATATTTTGAATAAGTTGGTCAAAACTTCATTGAAATATTTTTGATAGAATTTTGTCGATATTTTATTTGGTCTTATGGCTCAATTGGTTGGAAGTGCTTTGATTGCTTGTTGGACCTTTATAAAAGTAAGTAGAATGGATAGTTATTTATTTTGTGTCTTAGATATAAGTTGTAGAATACTTTAAAATCATTCTTTGTAATTTTTTATATTGGCTTTTATTTTTGGTTCTTGTATATAAAAGTTGTTAATGTATGATTGCATATCTTGGAATTCATTGAAGATTTGGCCATTGTCAAAGAATTTTCTAAAAGATATAAAATTCTCTTAGCCATTTTGATGTTTAAAAAATTCTTTGTTGTATTAATTCCTTGTAATTATTCAATGTGTTAGTTTATAATCACGTTTGAATTTAATTTTGTCTTGCCATATTTGTTATAGTTTTGTGTGTATTGCATCAAGCTTTTTACAAGTGTTTTTTTCATTTTAGTGATCTTGGAGTGCTATCTAAGCATTATAAACCTCCAAGTATTGCTTTTCAAAGTCCTTATGCTACTTCATTTTTCTCTTCTTAGATTTTTGATGACTAATTTCTTTAATAGATTTGATATTAGTAGTAATTTTGGCATTTTGGTTTTGATTACATACAAGTAAAGTTTGTATCTAAGCCTAGAGTAGAATAGGTCTATATACTTGGATTTTTAGCATTTTTGTGTTAAATTGCAAGATTTGTGGTATGCAAGGACTATCTAAGTAGATTTGTATAAATATAGGAGCATAATCAAAGATATGTGGCATAGTACCACATATTTAAATTTAGCCTCCAAATTAATATATTATATTAGATAAATATATTTTATCAATTTGTAAATAAATTATACAAGATGCTTATTGTCTATTATTCTTTATATATTTTTTTGTTGATTCTCTTAATGAGTCTATTATAAAAGTAATTTGATAATTCTAGAAGTGAAAAAAGGTCATCTAAGGCATCATTTTTTTTTGTCCTTAACTAATAGTGGCTTTTCTTTCATGCTTGTTGTCAAGCTGTTTGATGCAATTGAAATTATCTTCTAGTATGTTATGTGCATCAAAAAGAAGATAGCATTTGATTCTCTTTTAAAGACTATTTTGGCTCTCCATATCATTATATATATATATATATATATATATATATATATACATATATATATAATGTGTAATTTCAAACTTAGAATTATATATATATATATATATATATATATATATATAATTCTAAGTTTGAAGATACAAATTAATTAGAAGATTACATTTTGTGCCTTTTTGGAGTTGATTATATTATATTCTTATACATATATTATAAGGTGTTTGAAGAAGAGAATCTTAATTCTTTCCTTGAATAAATATTTATCTATTAAATACTACACCTTGATTTAGAAAGAATTATCTTTTATAAATTTTATTTGATGTATTCAACTTTGACATTTAGATTATATATATATATATATATATATATATATATATATATATATATATATATATATATATATTCTTACATAAATAATGTATTCGATTTTGACAAAGTTCTCGCAAGAAAATCCTTAATCTAAAAATATTTCTT